CTATTACACATCAGCAGGGACCTATGGATTAGACTCTGTAAGGAACAAGTGCCTTGAATGGCTTCTAAACAGTTTGGTAACTCGTCAGAATGTTGACCTTTTTAAAGAGCTCAGTAGAAATGTCATGCAACAGCTCATGAGCTCATCTGACTTATTTGTGATTCAAGTAGAGATGGATGTATGCACAGCTCCAGAAATGTGGATGTTCCTTCAACTTGTGCCTTCTTGGAATGGATCTTTAAAACAACTTTTGACTGAAACAGATGTCTGGTTTTCTTTTTTTTTTTCTTATTGGGGAACAGTGTTTCCCAGGACCCATCAGCTCCAAGTCAAGTGGTTGTTTCAATCGAGTTGTGGAGGGCGCATCTCAATGGCCCATATGGGGCTCGAACCGGCAACCTTGGTGTTATGAGCACTGTTCTAACCACCTGAGCTAACCAGCCACCCCCAGAATGTCTGGTTTTCTAAAAGAAAAGATTCTGAATGTGTGACCTTCCTTGAAACTGAGCACGGAAAACCATTTGTGTCAGTATTCAGACATTTAAGGTTATAGTATATCATCAATGATTTAGCTTCTGCAAGCATTATTGAACAAGATTCTCTAGTACCTTGAGTATGGCTGTCTTCTGTGTATAAACAGCAGTGGCTTGCTATGCTCGGGGTAGAACAGAACAGTGAGGTGGGGCCTCAGGAAATCAATAAAGAAGAACTAGAGGGAAGTCGTGTAAGGGGTGGTAGGAAGCTTGCCAAAGATGGCGCATACTGCTAGTGGTAGACAGGTTTTAACTTCGGCTTTGACCCACTTGTAACTTACACCAATCAAATTGTCATTTTCAAATGCAGTGCACTGAATCAGCCATATAGTGGATCTGTCAGTTTACTACCTCAAAGGAGCATAGCATTTTGATTATGTTTGGCCTCTTTTGATAGTAGTAGAAAGCGAATATGTAGTAAAAGAGCTGACTATCAAATACCGACACTTGAAAAGGATCAGGAACAAGTAGTGATGAGCTTGGACAGCAGGCTTCTGATCTTCCCTTTATATATCTGCTGTAATTTCCTGTACATATCACCAGAAAAAAGAACTGAAAGTAATCATCATCCAAAAAATCCAGAAAACATAGGATCTCATCAGTTGGACACATTAGCTCTTTGAAAACGTTTTAGGCCCTATGATGTTCACATCTAAGGTGACTAACAATGAATGACAAAGGCCTTATGCACTGTGCAGATAATACTAGAAGACTGTTCTTTTCCTCATTGCATTTCTATACATATATGAAAAATCATTTTAAAACCAAGAAAATATCTGTCAAACCATTTCTGTTATAACCATGTCAACTCATGCTTTTAATTTAACAACAGTAGAAAATTGCTATAGGTAAATCTCACATTCCTCTGCAGTGAAATATAGATTTAAACTTTTAGGTTAAACTTTGATCCTACCTAATGCTAATGAACCTCAGTTATCCTTTTGTATATTTGTCTAGAAGAACGCTAAGGGAATAATTTGGAAGGCCAGTACTAACTGCTCTTTCAATTGGTGCATTTAAGGATGTCCCTTAATTTTTTCAGCTGCTCTTTATGAGTCCTCCTCCTAATATCTTTCTAATATTTCGTTATTTTAATCATTAATTATGTTTTTCATGGCTTTGGAGACTAAGCTAAGGAAACATTTTATTTAACTTAAACATTGTTATGCTATTTTATTTTGCTTTTGATTTTGTTTTCCTAGGATTGTAACAACAACAACAAAAAAGCTTCAGGCTTTTAAATGAACCTGAATGGGGGAGAAATCAGTTTGATTCTGAGTATATTCCTTTGCCTTACCTGGTCTTTTCTTTGACGTTCTGTACAACTTTATTATTAGGTCACAAAATTACTTATGTAATATATATTATACTTTAAACATTTTCATATTCTCTGATCTTTAGAATCATTTATGTTCAAATTTTAGTTGGGGATCCTATTTCCTACTTAAACTAAAGGCTTTACAGCCTCTGAATTGAGTGCCTTTGTGTTACACGTGTTAATAGAAATTTCATAGTAAATGTAAATAAGGTTGGGGGATGCCATATAGAAGCTGGTGATAAAGCATTAATGTAAGAATAGAATTTATTTTTGTCAAAAGTGAGATGTAGACTTGTCATGATTTATATATGTTGGCTTTTTGGGTTTACTGCTATTTTGAAAATAACCATGCTTGTTGTCTTTCCAGAGTGAATACTTTTTGTGGTTAATGTATATTTTTAGTATGTTTTTAATAATGGGAATCACTTTTATGTATCTATTACAAACAGTAAGTACCCATTTGGTGTCTACTCACAAAATCTGAAAACATTCATCTGTAAAGATATACATACCCCTGTGTTCACTGCAGCGTTATTCACGGTGGCTAAGACATGGAAACAACTGGTGTCCTTTGATAGGTGATTGGATAAAGAAGATGTGGTATATATACACAATGGAATACTACTCTGCCATAAGAAAACATGAAATAGTGCCATTTGTGACAACATGGATGGGGCTTGAGATTAATATGCTAAGCGAAATGTCAGAAAAAGTCAAGAACCGTATTTCATTCATATGTGGGATATAAAACTCAAAGAAAAAAACGATCAAGAGAAACAAGCAAAATTTCATAGATACAGACAACAATTTAGTGGTTACCAGAGGGTAACGGGGGGAGAGGGTAGTAGAAGACGGAAAAGAGGGTCAAATATATGGTGATGGAAGGAGATTTGACTTTGGGTGGTGAACACACAATGCAATATATAGATGATGTATTATAGGACTGTACACTTGAAACTATATAATTTTACTAATTAGTGTTACCCCAATAAATGTAATAAAAATTAAAAATAAATACCCATTTGGGAAAAGATAAATAAATAAATAAGTTTGGAGCCACGGTGACATCTCGTGGCCATTCCTCATATTGCATGACACTTTCCCTTCTCAACTCAAAAAATTTTTTCCCCTGTTTGGAGCCCAGCATTGTGGGTTTTTGTTTACTAGGCTGACGAGATACCCCATCCTGAGAGGGCAGCAGGGCCTGAGTGGACACGGGGACAACTGAAAGGCAATAAGGGCATCCAGTCAAGAGGGAGACCAAAGTCCATGGACAGGAAATTCAACTTCAGGGTGTTTGGTGTGTGGTGTAGTAAGTCCTACTGAGGCTGGGTCCACCCGCAGGTCTCTGACCCCCCTCAGCTGCAGAGTGCCCAGCCATCAGGGGAACAGCGGAGCAAATCCACTGATAGGGAAGGTCCTTCTTGCTCTGTTGCTCCACATGGCTTCTTTCGGCAAATGCCAAGGGCTCTGAGGTCTTCCCTCATGGTTGGAGTTCTTGTTCTTCTAAAATATGGCTCAGTGCCAGTGTGGATGTTTCCATGATGCAGTCCCGCCCTTGCTCATCCACCCTCGGCCCCACCAAAGGGTCGTCCCCTTAAACCCACTCCAATGAACTCACCTGAGAAGAGGAAGATCCCTCCTCTCATGGTAATGGTGAAGCTTGGCCTGCAGCCCAGTCCTGGTGCATCCTCAGGACTGGCTGCCTGTGGCCCTGGCTCCAGCCCTACTTGTCCTGAAGCCACCATCTCTGCCTCTGGCCATCAATCAAGTTTCAGCCATGTTTTTGTTGCTGTTGTTTCCTCCATTCACCCCAAAGCCCCCACCTTGCCCTCCAGTGGTTCTGGCCTGAGCACCCCCATAGCGCCCTGTTCCGGAACAAAACCCCTCAAAGGATAGAAGCTTATCTTGCTGCCTCTAGACCTTCTCTTCTGCTGCTTAGCAGACCCCGTAAATTCTGGTGCCATATCCTGACTATCAGCCTTATCCTGGGTTAGGCTAGGTTCTAAGGTTATTATGTGATCCTATTATGTAATTTAAAGCATTTTGCTTTAAATTGAGGTTTATACATGTGCATATGTGTACTATATATATGTTTGTAAACATGTATTTTGTAAAACAGTGCTGGTTGGGGAGGATTTCAAGTCTTCTTTCATCTATAAATATTAGAAAAGTTTGAATCAGCAGTTATAATATTAGTGCAAAACGTGCACCTTTACACTTTCTAAGATCCCAAGAATCATTAACTGTTTTGTATAAGAGAAACAGGCACCAATAATAAGGATGGCATTTTTAAATGAGCTTTGCTTTGGAGAATGTAAGCAAAGGCTAGAATGAGGTGTATACTCTGGGACAAAAGTTCTGAAGGTTTGTTTTGCACCTTAGAATCAACTGAGAAACTTTTTGAAAGCAGTTATGCCTAGGCTTCTCTTTGACCAATTAAATCTAGGGAAGGGGCTCATTCTGAGGTGCTACCAGGACTAAAAATTACAGCTCTGCTCTGCAGCCAATCTGGGAGCCGCTAGCCACATGTGGCTATTAAAATTCAAATTACTTAAAATTAAACAATTAAAAATTCATTTTCTGAGTTGCACAGGCCACATTTCAAGGGCTCAGCAGCCACATGTGGCTAGTGGCTGCCATGTTGGCCTGTGGAACAGGGTGGACCCAGCCTCAGTAGGACTGACTACACCACACACCAAACACCCTGAAGCAGATTATGGAACATTTCCATCATTGCAGAAAGTTCTATTTGCCAAGTCCTGCTTCTGTTGTTGGAGGCTGATATGGGTAGGCCGCCCTTATATAAAATGGAGGTGGTTTTATAAGTGAGTGCTGAGCAAGCTAATGGCCATTGTGTGTGTGTGTGTGTGTGTGTGTGTGTGTGTGTGTGTGTGTGTGTGTGGGGGGGGGGGGGGGGGGGTGTGGATTCATTCTGGTTCCTGTTTTTCTGCTCAGTTGTCACCCTACAGAGTCAAGAAGTTTCTGGATGTCCTGGGTATGTCAAGTGGAGACACCCAGAGACCTTATAATGACTGGGCTGGCCTCTGGGCCATCCTTGCTGGGATGGTAAACATCTCCCACAAGGACAGGTTTGTGGGCGGCTTGTGTGGGGCCACCAGGGCTGAGAGGACAGAAGAACCAGCACCTGCCAGGAAAGCTTTTATTCCCATCAGGGTGACCCACTCGCCCTCCTGCACTTAACCCTCCTCTGGCACGTTGAGCTTGTCCTTCACCCCACAGGCCACCACAGCGAAGAAGAACTCTGGGAAGAAGGCGCGGACGTACACGGCGGCCTTGGGAATGGGGTTGGCCATGAAGACTTCTTGCTTCTTCCGTCTCACTGTGCGCATCACCTCCTCCGCCACGTCTACCGGACGCACCCCATAGGACAGCTTCCTGAAAAGGACTAAAGAGCCCCCAGGAGGGGGAAGGGATTAGAGCCTCAGCAAGAACAAGTTGATCACACCCCTCTGCGAGCCCAAAGGAGCAAAGGGCTGTGTGCGCCAAGCCTGAAGTCACCGCCAGCTCCGCCTTCCCGGGGCTGTGAGGCCCTGGGGAGACTCTTCACCCCTCTGCACCTCTTTCCCTGTAAAGCGGGCATGGCTTCCTGCCCTATGAATTTTGCAGGGTGCTTATGATCTGTAGAAAGGATGACAAAGAGCTTAGAAAGTAAGAAGGTGTCAGGTGAATTTAGGGGCTGTTGTTGGTAATGGTTGTGAAGCTGTGCTTGTCAAGCGCCTCCTGGAACCACCTGCCCCCATCAAGGTTCATCTTGATTCCCTAATGGGCAGGGTGTGGCAGTTTCTGTGTAGAGCATTCTAGAATAGTAATAAGGTGCACTTACAAAGCACTCACTATGTGCTGGTTGCTATTCTGAACCCTCTATGAGCCAGAGCCTTCAGCCAGTCCTCCCAATGGCCCTACAAGGTAGATATTACCACCATCCCTCGTTTTCTAAAGGGGAAACGGAGGCACGGAGATGAAAGAAATTGCTTTTGTTCAAACGTTTAATATGTGACAGAGGCAAGCTTCAAATGCAGGCAGCCTGGCACCACACTTTCAGCCTGTGCCCTATACTGCCTTCTAGGCAAAGGGGGAGCAGGTTGTTCTTAAAGACCAAATCCTAGCTATTCCACATGGGAAACTGAGCCCCAGAGACAGGCCATCACATGGCCAAGGTCACAGAGTCTGTGAGGGCCTGAGACCAGCTAGGCCTTGGTCTACTGGTTGCAGGTTAGGATTCTCTCTATCTGGTGCCTCAGGACTGAAATTTTGGGGCCCCCTCCCTGCCATTAGGTGGATGCAGGGGCCCCACAACCCCCAGTCTCATGCTTTAGGAACACCCACCTGGGCCCAATGAAACCAGGCTGTCCCAGAGGCCTCCCCAAGAACCTTCCCCAGCCCTTATCCTCCTAACTTCCCTCTGAAAGCTCACATTTCCAAATGGAGGCCTCCGAGTTTCCTCGGCCTGGATTAATGTGGTACGAGCGGATGAAAGTTGGGCTCACAGTGCTGACGACAACGTCATATTCCTCCACTTCAGCTCGGAGGCAGTCAAAGAAGCCCAGCGCTGCATGCTTGGAGGCAGCATCTGGAAGAGAAACCAGCCAGGGGTGGGTGCTTCCTGGGAGAAGCGTTGGAGACAAGAGGCCTACACACACCTTCCTACAAACTCAGCCGGAAGAGGCCTCAGAAGTCACCAAACCCCTGTTCCTCACTGCGTAGGTGAGGACAGAGAGCCCGCCTGAAGGGGTGGACTGAGCAGACCTGGGGTTGAATCCAAGTTACCACTTGCCCACTGTGTGGCCTTGGACAAATCACTTTACCTTTCTGAGGCTTAATTTTCTTATTTTTAAAATGGGGATAATATCACCCTTGGTTGTGAAAATCAAATGAGAACGTGTATATAAAATGCCAGGCACAAGAATGAGTTCCCATTCCTTCCCAGGAAGGCTGTCAAATAGGGAAGCTGCTTTGGAAAACAGCCTGGCCATTCCTCAGACATTAAAACATGGAGTCACCACATAACCGAGCATTCCACTCTTGTGTTTGTACCCAAGAGAAATGAAAACATACGTCCACACAAAAACTTGTAAATGAATGTCCATAGCAGCGTTGTTCATAATGGCCCCAAAGTGGAAACAACCCAAATGTCCATCAACTGATGAATGCATAAATAAAATGTGGTGTAGCCACACAATCGAATATTAGCCATAGGAAGGAATATGAATTAACCTTATATCATTAGGCTAAGTGAAAGAAGCCACCGCAAATAACCACGTATTGTATGAGTCCATCTATTTGAAATATCCAGAACAGGCAAATCTATAGAGACAGAAAGCAGACTAATGGTTGCCTAGGGCTGGGGGGAATGGGGGTGGGGATCAGAGGGTGATGGCTAAGGGGTGTGGGGTTTTCTTTGGGGGTAGTGAAAATGTTCCTCAATTGTTGTGGTGATGAATGCACAGCTCTGTGAATATACTAAAAGCCACTGAATTGTACACTTTAAATGGGTGAATTATGTGATATGTAAATAATATGTCAATATAACTGTTGTCCCCAAAAAAGTCTTAATCAGCTTGTTCATTCATTCACCAACTTGGTGATTCCTTCAATCAACAAGCAAAACCCCTGCTCCGGGCCAGGCCCTGGGGGAGGAGCTGGAGACAGAGGCGGGTTGGGCTAGCCCTGCCCTCGTGGACTCTACGGTGCAGCAGCAGTGATTTCCATGAGGTGTGGTTAGTGCAGGAGACAGGTGTGTACCGAGACAGGATGTGCCCACCTCTAAGCCCGTGTGTCTGGTCTGAGCCTCAGAGCCCCCAGACTCCCCATTTGGATGGTGCTATAGTAGCCAGGGAGGCTGCATTTCTTTGGGATGTGGAAGGAGACCCACCCGTGCAGTCAGATGACCCCGGTGATTCCCAGGTTAGCCCCTAGGTCAGGAGTCAGACCTGAAGGAAGGAGAGAACTTGGGGTTGGCCCAGAGTGGCCTCTCTGCAGTTCTGACATTTACATGGGAAACCTGTACCCTTAATTCCTCAGTTGCAGAGAAGCCAGACCATGCACAGTTGGCGAGGTAGAGAGAGCCTTGTTAGAATTCTCCACCCTCAATGCTGTGTTTCAGAAACACTCCAAGGAAACCAGTCCCTTGTTGGTCCCATTGTTGGTTGTTGGCCAAAGAGCCCATTGCAATGGCATGCCACAGCATATCATGTCACTGCTGCCTGTGTCCTCAGCACCTGGCTGTAGGCAATGGATTCCTGTTTGTTTAATGAATGAAGGCATGGAACAAGGAAAGTGAAAGTAATCCAGCTTCTGAAAAGAATGTGCACGGAGAGTTTACAAGCAGAAGGAGTAGTGGTAAGATTCATTAATGGTCTAGAAAGAGAGGGAAATGAAGGACATGGTAAAGACTTCTTCTGTGTGTGGAACAAGCTCCATTCTTTTCTTCCTAAGGGGCCACAGGTAGACTGTGTCCCCAGCATCCCTTGCAGCTAGGTGTAAGCATGTGACTGATTTCTCACCAACATTATATGAGCAGGAGGTGTGTGCTAACTCCTGGCCTAGGCCTTTAGACATTGAATATGCTTCCCGATACTCTCTCCTCTCTTCTTGCCAACCAGAACCCAGATGGGGTGGGAGCCAGTTTTGGCCACATGGAAAATGATGCCAAAGCAATGATTTGGCCTGACCCTGGGTCCCTGAGTGACTGTGAGGACAGTGGTGCCCACTGACCTGGACCCTCCCATTGAGACTGTTACATTGAGGAGTTTTCATTTTACATCATAGTCTTATAACACCTTAGTCTTAATCCAACTAATGCAAATGGGAAAAGGAAAGTAAAACACTATCGAGATATACCATGAGCTAAATTACTCCCCCCCCCAAAAAAAGTATTCATATGTTGAAGTCTTAATCCCAGTATCTCAGAATGTGACTGTATTTGGAGATAAGGGCCTTTTAAGAGGTGATTAACTTAAAATGAGGCCATTATGGTGGGCTCTAATCCAATCTGACTGGTGTCCTTATAAGAAGAGGAAATTTGGACACACAGAAAGGCACCAGGGGTGCACATGCACAGAGGAAAGACCATGTGAAGATACAGGAGCCAAAGAGAGAGGCTTCAGGAGAAACCAACCCTGCTGACACATTGATCTTGGACTTCCAGTCTCCAGAACTATCAAAAAATAAATGTCTGTTGTTTAAGCCACCAGGTCCATGGTATTTTGTTATGGCAGCCCAACCAAACGAATACAGAGACCCACTGATTTTTCTTTCCTCCCTTTCTTCCTACCTACCTCCCACCCTTCTCCCCACCAGACATTTGCCAAGCTCCTATTTTGTTCATGGTACTGTGAGCCATAAAGAAATATATAAAGCATGTCCCCCATCCTCCCAGATCCTATGGGAGATGGGCATGTCTTTAGAATTTTCCCAACTGGATCCCATGAATATACACTGAGAAGTCCCTCTTGTCCTCATACTTTTTAAAGGACTCTCACCTTTGGAATTCTCTCTCTCACCCCTCCTGGAATTCTTCCCCTTTCCTTTTCTCCTCCTTCCTGTCCCAGATCCTCTCCATCTCTCTCCCATTTTGTGATGGGCACCCATCTTTTCTTTCCCAGTTGTCCTCTTTCCTGTCCTTCAAGGGTGTCTTTCTAGAGGAAGGGCAATTGAAGTGGGGCACCCACGTCAGGAATGTGATCTTCATCTGGCATTGATCATGTTCAGCCAGGGCATGTCCTGACCATGAGTGAGACTTGACCTTCCAGGGGAGAGGGACCTTATCTTTCATATCTCAGTGTCTCCCACGGTCACCTGCATGCCATAGGTGCTCAAAAATAGGAACTGAAGGGCTGACAGGAAAACCAACAGACCATTTCATCTTTGGCCCTCCTCTCCTCCCACTCTGCCCCCCCCCACCCCACCCCCACCACATAACCTCATGCCTAGTCCTCAACAATACAAGTCTTGTCTTATAAGACATGCAACATAATACAAAACACTTTTGTCTTGGCTACTTACAAGCTGTACGGAATGGGATTCCAAGCTTCCCTTGGATGTTATTTATTAGCACAATTTGGCCTGTCCTCCGGGAGATCATGTTGGGAAGCAGGGCTGGAAAGCACAGGACAGTGAGTAAAGGTTAAAAATCTGAGACCAAGTCAGGCAGCATCAGGCAGACCCCTCCCCAAGGCCCCCTTCCTCGCATGGGGCTGCTCTACCTCCTTGGTAATGGGATGAATATGAAATGGACCCCAACCATCATTTATCCAGCTTTCCTAAGAGTGGGCTGGGCTCAACTGAATTGCTGGATGATTTTAAATGACCCACCCACATGCATGAAGTGACACAGATTTCAGCAGTAAGAAAGGTAATCCCTTTTTAGTTCTTCTATCACTTCCAGTAAGAAATCTCATGTTGGTTCTCATGTATCTTTAACATCTCTCTTGCATGTGCTAATCTTTTATAAAGAGAGGAAAGACCTCAGCCCCCTGTCTTGGGAGAACTTACTACTTTGTTTTGATTTTAGGTTTTCTTCTATTTAGAGAGAAATGGGGGAAGGGGGTTAATTTATGGTGCTATTAAAGAGTTCCTCCTAAAATGAATTAATTTAAAAATGAGAAAATTCAGATATGAAGTAAATAATAGTACAGGTAGAATAAGGATATGGCAAAAATTCAAAACATTCAACTTTCAGTATGGTTAATTAAGTCCTGCCCCTGCATGTTGGAGATGAGCAAACTGAAACCCAGAACTAGAGAGTAGACTCAAGTCTCTTAGCAAGTTAGAGGCCCAGGACCAGTCCTGGCCTTTTCCAATCCTCTTTTTATGCTCCTCACTTTGATGTCAGTGAACCCCGAATTCTCAGAGATTGGTTGAATGATACACCTTGGCTGGCCTGCTTGGTATGTCTGCAGGGACTGGGCTAAAAGAAACTGTTATCTCTGGGGCATAAATTTAGAAACTCTTGGAAATCATCTTTCTGCCTGAAATATTTTTTTCCTTTATCTGTCATGGTACCCATTATCACAGAGATTCTGGCTATAAAGAACCTGGCTGCTAAAATCATGCTTTCTCAGCCTCTCAGGGTACCCCACTTCCTAATGTAGAAATTAACCATGCTTATATTCTCTCTCCCTCTTGGGGTTCTGCTTTGATAAACTTTTTTTTGTGTGTGTGGGGAAGAGGCCTCAACTCTTGGTTCTGTTCTATGTCTGCTCCAGCCCCAGTGCCCCAGGCTTCAGACCTACATTTGAACTTGGCCATGAAAGATCTCCAAACAAAAACCACCATTTTACCTTTAAAAGGGATTCCTGCCTTCCTTACTTCTTGCAAAGGGATGGACATTATTCTGGGTCTCTGGTACTTTGGGGACAAAGTTTTCTTCTTCATTACTGAGGAGAGAATCTCTACCTTTGACCAAATGTCATGGTTAGGAGCAGATAACCACAAGGCTGATATATCAAAATATATGCAAAGCATGAAGACATAGTCCAGAGATGTGGAATGAGATTGGAAAGGAGCCATGGATGTAACTAAGAAGAGGGGGGGACAGGTAAAGGGAAGGGTTTGGGGGGGTAGATCTCACAGAAAGGGAACTTAGAATATACCAGTAAGAGACTTTCAAAATCCCTTTTCTTTAATCAACATTTACAGTCAGAATGTTCAAAGATTTCACCAGATAAGCAGAAATTTTTCTGAAGGCGGCTTGAGACTTCATCCAGAATTGGATGACTGTCTGGCTACATACAGAACCCTCTCTACAACTGGTAGCCCAGAAATCCATAGGAAAGTCAAACTCACGAGACCTTTGGTCAATGTGATGGGCCCAAAGTAATTGGCATTCATGATCTTTTTGTCCAGCTCCAGAGAAATCTTATGGGCAGGCCCCTTGATCTTCACGCTGGCATTGTTAAGGAGGATGTCCACACAGCCGTAGCAATCCAGGACCTCTCTGGCCACATCCTGGACACAGCTGATGTCTGCAAGGTCTAGGAGGACCAGCTTTGGAGTGAATGTCTGCAGAACCAATGAGATAGTCAAGGCACATGTGGGAACACCTCCCTCTTTCAGACCTTGGTGCCCCTCGATCTAAGAGCCGCCCCTTTTGAAATTCAGAGAAAATGGAATGATGACAAAAGAAAAAGAGGAGGAAGAAGCAGAAATGACTCTGGGAGGAAGGAAATTGATGGAGAATTCACTCTTGGGGACCAGAGCAGCAGCAGCAACAACAATCCAAGCATGAAATATGCAGTTATAAGTCTGAATTTTTGCCATGGGGCCATAATTAATAAATCTAAATGAATATTGCCTTTCACAGTGGAGGCTGTGTACTGATTCCAGTAGTGATGTCATTACCTAAAACACATCTGCGCTTTTTGGAAATTGCTTTCCAAACTGGCTTACAAGCCACATGTAGCTTTGTAACCACATTTTGTTTTTGACCAAAATCATACACTCAACACAAGATCAGAGAACCATCTATGTGACAGGCATTGTGTTCAGCCCTAGACACTTGCTGTCATGAAGACTCTCTCGTGGTTTTGGGGGTGGGGGAGTGGATGGGAAAAATGATGATACCATGTGGTACATGCAACCTCAGTGTTTGACAAACACTAGTCTTGAGATATGCCCTTGAAAAGAGGGTTCTCTGGTCAAATTTGTTTGAGAAACACCAACTATTATATGTTCTTCTTGGAGATAGAAAATGCACATTAATATATCAAAGACTGAAAAGTCCTGTGGTAAAGAAACCAACCAGAAAAGCTTGGCTTAACTCAGTATTTCCCACACAATTGACCTCAACCTCATTTTTACTCAATACCTAATAACATCCCAAGAAACATACTTTGGAGAGTGCTATGTTGTCCATTTTTGCAAATACCACACTTAGTTCTAAATTATTTTTGGCTATTTCCCAAACCTAAATTCAACATCAAGGGCAAAAATTAAAAAAAAATTTTTTAAAGATATTATTGGGGAATTGGGGGAGGGGAACAGCATTGGGGAATTGGGGAAGGGGAACAGACAAGTTGCCGTCCTTTTGTTCTTCAGTCTAGTTGTGGAGGACGTTGCTTCACTGGCCCATGTTGGTATTATCGTTGCGTTCTTCCCATGAGAGTCAGTCAGTCACCAGCCATTGGACGGCCATTCACTACGGCTCACGGCAGCTCACGCTGGCTGCCGGCCACTAATGGTAGCTTATGGCAGCCCACTGCAGCCCCACTGCAGCCTACGTCATCGCTAGTGACTCACGGCAGCCCAGCTCCAGGTCGAGCTGTTGTTCACCATCTTAGCTGTAGAGGGCTCAGCGTCATTGGCTCAGCGTCACTGGCCCTCATGTGGGATCCGAACCGGGGCCCTGCTGCTCAAAGCTTGTGCTCCCAAGCCAACTCTTAACCAACGTGCCACTCTGCCAGCCTCCCCCAAAAAAAGAAAAAAAAATTTTTTGAAGAGAGCTCTGAAGGCAATTTTCTAGACATTGCTCCAGAAATGCTTTGAAAACTGCAGTGGCATTGGAATAAGTGTTCACCCCCAAAGTGACTGCTTAGAAGGGGACTTCATTTCTCTGATTTCTTTGAAAGAAATATCATTTGAGGTATTATACCTGTGACACATCCTATCTTCTGGATCCTCTTTGGGTTTGACTTAAATAGAATAGGGGGTGGGGAGGTCAGCAGCTAGAGAACAAATTTTTGGCATGGTGAGTGATCAAAATGAGTTGACTCCTTATGATGGGCAGACATGCCTGTGTTAAGCTTAGTGAGACCATTGCCTTACATTCCCCCAAAGCAATCACCACGTTTCACCCACTTGGCCAAAGAGCTGCTCTTTAGCAATCAATGAAAGCTAAGGGTGCCCACGAGTTACCCAAGCTGACGGTCAAAAGGCCTTACCTTGCTGGGGTCAGCCACGCTGATCAAGGTATCATACAGATTCTCTAGCCTCTCCCAGTTCTTTCCACACAGCACTAGCCTTGCCCCGCCTGTATGGAACACCCGAGCACATTCTGTGGAGAAGAAGAAAAGAGGGCAGGGTGCACTGCTTAGAAGGAGCCACCGGTGGGGAGTCCCTCTGTCTTACAAATTCAAGAATTCAAAGAATCTAAAAGTGTTAAGGCTATGAGTTCCTTTCATCCAACCTCCCCCCTGGGTTGGATTTTTTTTCCCATTTCTAGCCTCAGCATGGTTGCCTCCAGTGAAGGGAAGCTCGTAGAGGGGTGAAACAGCCCTTCCTTCATTGGATAGTTCTGATTATTAAGACATGCTTCCTTACACAGGACAGGAAGAGGAGCCTGTCCACCTAGCCCCCCAGGACCACCGCCCTAAATATATCTCAAGCTAAAGATATCAGAAACAGTCAATGTATTTTCAGATCAAATGGCATCAGTTTCCGTTACATTTCCTCTGTAAGTAGATATTCCAGCCAGGGTTCTTTTTATTAAAAAGGTGAACCTGCCTTCTGTGTAGTTAATTTGACTCTAGATTAATTCCTGACTCACCTACTACAGAGCTTCTCAACTGGGCAATGGCTGGTAGAAACACAGCATTCTTGTGTAGCAATATCACAGATATTGAAGAACAAAAGAAGCTAACATATTTGAGAGTTTACTTGTTCTAGGGACTATTGAACGACATGTAAAAATATTAGCTCATCTAATTCTCACAATAACCTTACGAGGTAGTATCGTAGGTTGGGTTCCCTAGAAGCAGAAGCAGAGACAGGGATTCAGGTGGTCAGAATTCATCAAGGAAGTGCTCTTCAGAGAAAAATCTATTAGGGAGTAAGGGCATGGGGTAGGTGCTAGGCAAGGATGTGGTCTCAGGTAAAGTCTAGCCTTGGCTGAATCCAAGGAAGGCTCTAGAGTGTAAACCCAACTGCAGAGCTATCCTATCTGGAGGCAAAAGGTGACCAGCCGTCTATGTCAACCACTCACTGACTGTGTGCTGCCTCCCTCTGGTTGTAAGTGCAATGGGTGTGTAACTCCTGGACAAGTCAATGTCCACTGGCAGAGGGCAAGTCTGTGAGCCTTGGCAGCCTATACTCATAGCACCTGGGGAATGGACGAACGGGCAGGCACAGGGATCTGTGAAGGGCACCACCACCACCTACCAGCGGGGAAGGGATATGCAGGAAGGGCACCTGTTACTTTCCCATTTTACAGCAAGCAGTGACAGGCCTGGACTGACCCGGGATGCTGAAGGATAGCTAGGCAGCACTGGGTGCCCACTGGAGCCTGGATATCCTGAGTGCATTGGCTCAAAGTGATCTTGTGGTTGTGTGATTTTTCTCCTACAAGACTCAGCAGCCTGGTGCAGGTAGAGAGAAGGGGGCCAGCTAGATAGGACATTTGGATGGGGTTCGATAAGTGGGCAGGGAAATGGTGGCATTGGCAAGAGAGCTATTGAAGTGCTGAACCATGCAGCCTGAGTCAGATAAGAGCAGGAGTGAAGGCAGGAGGGGCCAACAGAGAAGAAAAGTAGAGGGTTCCAAAGACAGGAGACCTCAGCGAGGTCTAGAAACAGGTGTAGTGGCTGTGACTGAGAGAGCCGGGAGGAGGGAAGTTGTGGTCAGTTCTGCTGATGGAGGGAAACCGGAATCAAGAAATAACTGTGTTAACAGTGTCACCTTGAATTGAGGACCATAGAGAATGGAAGATTTCTCTAAATGTAGGAGTTTTATTGAGAAAGAAGCATAAGGATTCTCAATGTCAAAATTCAATAAAGATGTCAATCCATCTCCCAGTGAATTTCATGCAGCAAATCAAAATCCCAACATGTCTTGGAAAACAACAGAAAAATCTTAAACTTCATTTGGAATAATTTACAAGCTTTATTTGGAATAATAAATATGCTAGAAAAGCAGAGACCATTTTGATAAACAATAATGGGGATAGAATAATACTATCAGTTATTAAAATACATTATAAAGCCACAGATATTAAAGCAGACAGTGGTTCAAGTGTAGGTAGAAATATTGATTAAAAATAGAGCCAAATATTCATAAGAATTCAGTTTATGATAAAGTTAGTTTGTTGAATCAATGTGAAAAGAATATATTATTTAAAAAGTGATATTTGGACTACTGGGTAACTATTTGGGAGGGAAACATTCTAGATGCAATATACCAAAGTGTATTAAATAATTAAATGTAAAAACAGAGCCATAAAAGAACTAGAAGAAAGGGGAGATGAAAATATAACCTGCTTTGGGGAAAGATCTTTTGAGCATGACTCTGAAGGAAGAAATCGTAACAGAAATGATTAATAGATTTTTATCTTTAAAAGAAGCTTCCCTAGGGCCGGCCGAGTGGCTCAGTTGGTTAAGAGCTCGCTCAAAAGTGCGAGCTCTGAGCAACAGGGTTGCCGGTTCAATTCCTGGCCCGAGCTGAGCTGCTGCAGAGCTGCCAACAGGTGGCAGAATGGCTTAGCTAAAAAAATAAAAAATAGAAATAAAATAAAAGAAGCTTCCTTACAGCAGAAAACATAAATAAAAATTAAGGCAAGATAAACTGAGGAAACCTATTTATAATACATATCAAAAGAGGGTTAATTTATTTGATCTACAAAGAACTCTTATAAATCAATAAGAAAAAAGATAAAGAACTAATAAATAAATTAGCTAGTGAGATGAGTAAGCAATTCATAAGAGAAGTGCAAAGAGTTAATATACAGAAGATGAAAGTTCAATGCCAATAATACAGAAATGCAGATTCTAACATGCCACTAATTTTAATCTATCAGATAATCAAAAACAAAATTAGTAATAGTCACAGGTTTACTGCTTGTGGTAGTGTAAGTTACCAAAATCTTTTGGAAGAAAAATTTGACAGAATTCTTAACAGTAAGTGTGTACTTTGACCCAGTTATTTCATTTATGGACATTCATTCAAAGAAAATAATTTAAAATTACTGTATGGACATAGTTATGATACTGTTTATCTCAGTACCATAATAATAATAAAGAGCTGGAGATGATTACAAATGTCCAATATTACATGAGATTGGTTAAATAAATTCTAGTAAATCTCTGTGTTGAATATTTTGAAGGCTTTAAAACTGATGTTACAGAAATGGGTCTGTTGAAATGGAAAGAAGTTTACGACATAGTAAATTTAAAAAAAGAGATTCAAAGCAGTGTCTAATACAATGCCATAACACTTGACTCGGTGTGTGTGATAAGTGGATGTTAAATTGTACATATGTATATTCAACAGGATTTTAAACTGGAAGTTTGACTGAGGCACCAAGATCAAACAGATATAAAATTCCAAAGTTAGTTGCCAGTCCAAGATGCAGATTTTGGAATTAACTAAAAGGGCTTAACTAAAACCCTGTTTTATGGAGCTCTTTACCCCCAAAATAGGACACAAAGGGATCAAGGAAGAGGAGAGAGAGGGGAGGATTTTGAAGAAGGACTTTTGGGAAGAGAATTGGTATGTGAGCATTTACCCATTATCTCTATCCTAGAGAGAAGGGCACCAGCAAGACCATTTAAACAGCATGCTATGAGTTCCTTGCAGCTGGGAGTCCAGCCGGATGTCTGAGTCACCTGAGAAATCTAATGGGAGAGACCGTGGGCCAACTCTTCCCAGAGCAGAAGAAAGGAGAGCTGCGGCTGCCCGTTGGGGATTGGTCTATATTGTTGAAGACCCCACTGCACAACTGCAGTGGACCAGAGGTAGGGCACAAGTTGGTTGGGAGCTCTTTTGAATTCTGCCCAAGAGGACCTCTCAGAAAGGCAGTGGAACTCTAAAAGAGAGGACCTACATGGAGTAGACCCCCGAAACTGGGGTGGAGCTGCAACTGAGCAAGCAGAGCATACCCCCCTCACTTCTGAGTGGCCCACTTCTGAGACATGAGCATGTTGGAGGTGTATTGTCACCTGCCCATACTCCCCCCACCTCACATGATCATGGGCACATATTTTCAAGCTGGGCACTGGGTTAAGTGAAGGGCCTGTGGCCAAGAGCCAGACCAAAACTCTGGCCTTGACTTTCTTTGGAGAGGTAGTCAAGAGTGTTCTTACCATCACTCCATTTTCCCCCTTCTCTGCTAACACCTTGTCTTTCTCAGGGGCCCCAGGAAACCTGAAGCTGGTGGTACAATCACTACTTCAGTCCAGCAAGCCCGGAGGCACATGCCCAAATAAATAAACCATTTTTGCTAACGCCAGGCATTAAGTATACCCTGGTGTCCTTATTTTGATTCTTTATTAGCTCAATTCAGCACAGCATTTGTCCTGTGCCAAGAATGTGAGCACCAGGCTTTTTCTTTTTCATGCAGCAAACATAAATTGAGCCCTGACTCCCATATTTCCTCAAATCTAAGATGCCATCTACCATAGATGCTTCCTGATTTCAGACATGTTAAAATGCAAAAAGATGGCCTGTGAATATTGTAAGATGCCATTGATTGAAAGAGAAACTCAGTTCAATTTCAGAAATGATTAAAGATGAATAACTGTGCATCCTAGAGGTGATGAAACACAGGCAGAGTTGTGTTCTATGAAGTACAGTGGTTAAGACTTTTGAGAGTCACTCTTGCTGCAGAGACAGTGGGTACAAGGTGACCTGATTTCCATCTTGGCTGAATGTGTGGTTTGGGGTAAAGGTTAGATGTCTTGATTTTTAGCTATTTGATTTCCCTAGTAAACAGCTTGACGTTGGGATCCTTGCTGCTACCCACTGGGTTTGGTCAGGTTTCATGGGACCAGGGGTGTGGTGTGGGCTATGCATAGCCTGTGTCATCTGCTCAATGCCCCTCACTTTTTTCTTGCCTTGGACCTGAGAAACGGAGCAGTTTGAACCTGGAATTGCTGTGGACAGCAGCGAGCATGTTCCGGTTAGGTATTTATGTAAGGTTACATACACTCAACTTCTCAAGTTACTTCTAAATACTTGGGCTTTATTTTTTTTCTATTTTACATTTCTTTCCAGGGTGGGTCCATAAGATACAATAAAAAAACAAAACAATACAAAAACAACAACAACAACAACAACACTGACAGTATTCATGAGAGAGATTAGACCACAGTCCTCTGAAAATGCCATTTTGCCCCTGAGATGTATTTCCTGAGCACTTGATTTATTCAATCTGTGACTATAACCAAATGAAACTTAAAAATCTAAAAAGACTACTAAAACAAATATGCATCTCTTGGCAACATATAGAACAGTAGTACTGTTTAGTAAGACAGAAAATCAGGAAAAATATAGAACTGAACAGCCTCAACCAACAGGATCTAATAGACATTTATAGAACACTCCACCTAAAAACAGAAGAATGCAGATTCTTTTCAAGTACCTGAAAAGTATCATCCACCAAGATCATTCATATCCTGAGCCATAAAACACACCTTAAGAAATTTAAAAGAGTTGAAATCATACAGAGTGTGTTCTCTGATCATATTGGAATCTAATTAAAGATCAGTAAAACTTATATACGACATATTTATCCAAATGAGTGCCTTCCCTTGTCAGATGGTCACTTTTAGAGGCTATTCATTGTTTTGAGTACTTACTATATGCCGAGCTTTAAGCTAGGTGGTGGGGATACCACAAAGTGAACAAAACACAGGGGAGATTTTATCTAGCCGACCAACTGAGAAACACACAGATACAGCACAACATGAGAAGTACAACAATGGGGTGTTTCTATGAGGCACTATGGGTTTCCAGAGGCCAGTTGCTCAGGGGCCATTAAGGCGGTCAGGAAAGACTTCATGCCGAGGGGGTCCCATGTTGGTTGCTGGCCTGATGCTAGATGGGCATGTTCTACTTGCAGAGCAAGGTTTCCCCAAATACGTTGACTCTGCGTGTTTCTAGGTGGGTGTCTCTGCTCCAGTTCCCCAGGGCAACCACTACTCCCTGTTGTCTTATTTCTGGTCTGGTTGACAAATGTGAGTGCCTGGCTTGTCCCTGTAGGAAGATGGAGTTTGTGCCCCCCTCCCTTTTGAGTACTGAGTGTAATGATGCAGGATATCGTCTTTGGGAATTGCTTTGGGACCCACATAGGGGCCACAAAGAGAACCCAGTTTATCTGCCTTACACTTTGTTTTTTTATCTTACATGGTGAACCCAAGTTGATCACCCACTGAAACTGAACCCCCCCCCCTTCAAAGCATGCAGACTGGCTGTCATGAAGATGCCCAAAAGAATGAGGCTCTGAGAGAATTCCCAGGCAGAAGTTTATAAGTGTCCTCATGATGGTGGCACTGTGACAGTAGGTGCCCAGCTGTGCTTGTGGAAGGGGCTGTGCTTATCTCAATGCTCAGGATGTATGCTCGTAGTGACCTCAATAGACACTTATTAAGTGACCTAATGAATGTTTGGCTGTGTGTGTTTTATGTTTGATTAAAAAGAACAAAAGCAATAGCAAAAATTACACCCAAACTATGTAACATATGGAGCTGCACTACTGTGGTTAAGAATGATAGAGTCAAAATCTTACAAACCTAAGGATATTTACTACCCCTCATGTCACAGATAAAAGCAGCAGAAGTGCCCTCTGAGACCATCAAATTCAGGGGCTGCCAATGTAAATTCCCTCAAAGCCAGGGGTGACATGATTGAGAGAATCAGGTCAAGTGTGATACAATAAGGATTGGTAGGGTGTGTGGCACACTGGAATATGCATGTTCTGCCTAAATTTGTTCATTGTTGTTACCATTACTTACACTTGAGGGGTGCCCACTGTAGCTCCAGGCACTGTTCTAAGAGCTTTCCATCTATTAATTCATTTATTCCTCACGACAATGTTGTGAGGTAGAGATTACTGGCACCCACCCTTGACAAATGAGAAATCCAAGACGAAGAAGTGAAGCCACCAGCTAGTAAGTAGTGGAGCCAGGAATGGAACCCAGCCCCCATGTCTGGGCTCGTCACTGGTACAGTGATGGCTCACGCCCCAGCCAAGGGCTTTGCATTTCAAATTTTCTGGAGATCCTAAGAAGGCAAAACAAGTCACACCTGCAGACCACTCAGGCTGTGAGTTTGCAACCCCAGATTTCCAGGGCCTTCATTTCTCAGGCGAGGAAGCCGCAGCCTCCAAAAGAGAAGATACTTGCTGGTTAATGACAGACGCTCGGAAAGAACGCAGCCTTCACCGCCTCCCACCTAGCAGGCTTGGCTGCGCGCCACCCTGCCACTGCCCATCCCTTAGGGCAGGAGTGGGCACAAGTGGGGATGAAGCCAGCTTACCCTTGCCCAATCCTGAGATGGCATCGGTGATCACCACCACTTTGTTCTGCACGGCTGATTTAGACCACAGCCTGCACACCTCTTGGTAGATGAAGAGAAGGCCGCTGATTCCCAGAAGCAGTAAGGGCAGGATGAGCACAGCTGTAACTCCCATCTTGTTCTGTGGGAAATGGTAAAAAGGAATTGGCTTTGCAAAGAGACTCTGATCAAGACATCAGGGCAGGGAGAGGCCCGCTCCAGGGCTGCAGGGCGCAGTCACTCTGCACCAAGCCCTGTGTGTCCTCTGCAGGGAGCTGGGCTCTGTGCAAGCCCTGTGGGCTGCTTTCGAGCTGAACACCCTGTTAATCCCCAAATGTCCGATGAATAGGAAATTACTCACGGTGTCTCCGAAAGCAAACAGAATCCAGGGTCCCACCCTTCCAAAGGTTAATTACAAATTTAATTAAAATGGGTCTGCATTTTGGGAAGGAGATCCGTGTGTTAAGGCCACTTGCTTGGGCCCTAATGATTATTTTTAGCTCTCAGTGGACTAAAGGGCTATTCAGGGTAAATATAGTGTCTATTCTGATATTCAGGAACACATGTTGGCCGGCTCTGATTTCAGAGTTCTTGCCAGGACTTTTAAAGCTCTCTGGCTTGCCTGAGTATTAGAGGTTTCCTCAGCAGTTTGAGGCTAGGCATTAGGGATCAGGACCTGGGATTTCAGCACAGACATCTTTGCCCTCACTTCCTGTAACCCTTGTATCAGGTAGCTTCCAGGTAGCTCAGGCGAGCATGGCTTTCTGGTTGGGGATGAAAGACTTAGAAGAACTGTTAAACAGAATGGAGCCTATTGTAGAATGAACCACTTGGAGGTGTGACATGAACTATTAGAAAGAGTAGAGTTTGGGGAATGTTTCTCATTAGTCACGGTGTTCCACCTTTTTGAGGCTTAGCGTCCTCATCTGTGAAATGGGCATGACGATCTTATCTTGCAGGACTGTTCGGAGGACAACATAAGATACTGCGTATTAGATACAGGCATAGATCCTGTCTCACAAGAAGGTAAATATTTTTATTTTTAATGATTAAGAATATCAAGAATTTATCCAAAATGTTAACTATTTTAATTTATTAGTGAACTCGGGAGGATTAGAAATGGAGGTACATAAATAGCTAAAATCCAATTCAAGTACTCATACCATCAAAAACTAGGAAACTGATAATAATGATGCCCTAATTTGTGTGGTAAGGATCATTGGGCTGACCGGGAAGTGGGGCAACAAGCAGTGCCCAGAGGTGGGAGTGAGGAAACCCCATTTCCTCCTTAGAAATTAAGAATAGCCAGGAACATTAAAGGAACTTCCAACTTTTTATTGACCTATAATGGACATAGAGCTGTGCACATAAGTGTAGAGCTTCCCGAGTTCATAAGCTGAACATATCCCTGTAACCAGAACCCAGATCAAGAAACAGTCCATTGGCACCATGCCACCATCATGTCTCTTTCTAGGCCTTAAAGGTAATGGCTTTCTAACTTTTAAAAGCATTTATTAGTTTTACCTGAGCTTTAAATCATTTATTTAAATAGGTTCACGAGTTATTACTGTTTTGCTGAACATTATGTTTGTGAGATTCATTCATACTGTTGTGTGAGGTTGAGATCTTTCATTTTCATTGTGTGAATACACCTCACATTTTACATTTATTCCTCAGAGTGAGCACTTGGGTAGTTTTGGTATGGGGTTATTATAAGTAGTGCTGCTGCAAACACACATGGCTTTGGGTGACATGAACACTATTTTGATGTGAATTTATTGGGCCTTTTTCATGACAGAAGAAGAAATTTTGGCTCTGATAACCTTCAGGTCTGAAAACATTGCCTGAAGAAAGTAAAATGAAGAAGTAAAGGTAACGTCTACCCCACTCTCTTAGTGTCAAGGATTCTTTGAGTTAAGTTCTTGGAATTTCATTCCATACCCATAAGCAGGGATGGAGGTATTTTTAATTCATTGAAATGATGCATTAGGAACCTTCCATATAGCACTTTTTGGAGGAACAGCTTACACTGGGAGATTTAAAATATTATTTATGTTATAATGTCTCTTTGCCAAGGTCGGCTTGGTCAATACAGAAGTTCATTAGTTATATTGTGCAAATGTGGCCACTGCTATGATTGGACAACTCACAAGTTATTTATTTGAAAATACATCCCACAAAGATATAAGATCCTTTACAAAAGAGGTGGTATCAGGGTCTCCTGTAGTGTTGATGGCAGTCTCCCTATTTAAGTAGATGCAGCTGACAATGGTTACCCATGCCCAGGTGTCTTATCCACCTCTTCCATGCAGGCATGCAGACCTTATATTATAGATGTGGTTTTCTATGAGAACAGTGAACCATTGGACAGCATTCCACCTAAAGACTAGTAAACATCCCCAGATTTCAGCTTAATGTTTCCAGAAGATGATTCAAGCTGTCCATAAATGTCATGCAAAGATTCTTTGAGCTGGGCAGTATTCTCAGTCCGAAGAACACAGCAGTGAGTGAAATAGAGGTAGTATCTGCCCTCACGGAGATCTTTAACCTCTTGTATTGGGAAATGGACAATGAATCCACAAGGAACTAATTGTATAGTGTGGCAGAAGGTGGTACATCCTGTAAGAGAAGAATAAAAAGCAGGGAATCAGTTGTGTGCAGGCAGGGAAGAAAATCACCCTGGATGATTCAAATGGAGAGATTATTTGAATCAAATGATTCATTGATTCAAATGAATCAAATTATTTAATGGAAGCTATGGAAGGGTTAAGGAAACACTCAAGGGGTGGAGAGGCACCCAGATGCCAGCAACAGTGGGAACTGTTACCACTTCTAGGGACAAGAGATAGAAAAAGAGTTACTGCAGCCAAGTGAGAGCTGGAACTTGGGTGGGGTGGGCACCCAGTAGGTTCTGTAGTCATGGGGAATCGCTGATATTTCCAGTGATAAAGAGCGAAGACAGGAGGAAACACCTTGATGACTCTCTTTCCAGTGTCTGATGCCATGGTTGCTTTGAGCAAACATGGGGCAGATTGGGAAGAGAGGCCAACCAACAGTACCTGCATGGGTATCTTTCCCACCTGATTAACAGGAGCTCCTATGCAGTGTTTATCTCTGGAGGACACTCTCTAGAGACCAAAATATATTCCATATTTTGTGTCATTATAAGACGAATGTTCGCAACCTATTCCCCAAATTTCCTTGTCACTAAATTTTTTCCCCCATAATCTCTGACCAGTTGGCCAACCTAGCCAACTGCCAATATGTCTGTGTAGATCTGCAACTCAGGCCACCTTTCATTCCAAAAAAAGTGGACAACAAGTACTGCTCAAGTTACTGTTTTCCTTCTCCACTGTGCATCAGAGCCACTCTTGAGTGGGACTGTCCACCTCCAGCCGATATCAGTGTATTAGACGGGTTCATCTGCAAACCAGCCCTACCTTTTCCCTTTAATAGAAAGCAAAGGCAGTCAGTCAGCACAGGTAGGTACATGGAGTGTTAATGCAATGTAACAGTGCCTTCTGTACCTGCTTAGGTCCAAGGTCAGATCTCCCTAACTGAGGTGACCCCTGAAGGGGCTGATAGCTGGTTATTCACTGACTATACTACCAGCATCTGGGGTAACAAGTCCCTTGTTGAAGAGGAATCTGGGTGGTGCATCACAGTGTCTATCACGGGCAAGGAGAAGAGGTAAATTGAGAATAAGTCACTCTCATTTGATGTAGGGTGATGGAGAAAGTCTTGGTTAAAGATGGCACTTAAGCAGATGCCTGAAGGAAGTGACGAAGTTATATGAGGGACGGAAGTTCTAGGCAAAGGGACCAGCAAGTGCAAAGGCCCTGAGGCAGAGTGTGCTTGGTATTCTCAAGGATCAGCAAAGAGGGCAGTGCATGGGAGTGGAGTGACTGGGGTGGGATGAGTAATCGATGAGGTTAGAGATACAGTTGAGGGCCCACTTATTTTATTTTATTATTTTTTTTTAGGCTGAGCCATCCTGCCACCTATTGGCAGCCAGCGGCTGCTCAGCTTGGGCCAGGAATCGAACCGCTGTTGCTCAAAGCTCAAACTCTTGAGTGAGCTCTTAACCAACTGAGCCACTCAGCTGGCCCTAGAGGGCCCACTTATATTGTAAAACAATTAGAACTTTGACTTTGACTTTAAATAAGATGGTAATCCTTGAAAGGTCCTGAGGAGAGAAAAGACGTGATTTGACTTTCTTTTCCTATTGTACTGAGAATAGATTGTAAGGGGACAAGGATGGAAGTAGGGAGGCCAGTTGGAAACTTTTGCAATATTAATTCAGGTAAGCAGTGATGATGGCTTTGATTTGGCTTGATTGAGTATTAATCAAGGTGATGAGAAGTGCTGGCTTTAGGCATATTTTGAAGGCACAGCAGACAGGATTTGCTCATGAGTTGGATAGAGGTGAATAAAGGAAAGAGAGACGTAAGGTTTATTTACTCTAATATTTTGACTTGAGGAATGAATAGGATAGAGTTCTAATTTTTATTTGTTTATTTTTTGAGATGAGGAAGGCTGCAGGAGGCAAAGATTTGGGTGGATGGGTCCATTAGGAGTTCCATTTTGTCTATATTAATTTTGAAATCCCTGTTGAATCTAAGTGAAGGTGTTTACTAGGAAGTTGCATATATCAGTGTCTTGAGGTATGTCCAGGGGAGAAGTTGAGGCTCAAGGTACACATTTGGGACTTATCACAGGTAGTTGGCATTTCCAGACATGCCATATGATGAGGTCACCTAAGAGATGAGTGTGGGTAGGGGAATATTTGAGGACTGATCTTTGGCACACCAACATTTAGACATTGGGGACTTGAAGAGGAATCAGCAAAGGAGACTGAAAAGGTGTGACCATCTGGTGGGGAAGATTCAAGAGAGTAGTGCCCAGGGGTCAAATGAAGACAGTATTTGAAGTGGACCAACGATCATCTGTGTCCAATGATGCTTATTGGTCAAGTAAGATAAAATCTGAAAAGTGACCTCGGTTTAAGTCATGTGGAGTCATTAGTGCCATTGACAGGACCATCTGTGTAAAGATTATCATGAAGTTTTTGTTCGCCTTCAGACTTACTGTCAGTGGTAATGAGCCAGCTCTGCAAGGTGGTTCACGATCCACCCAAACTACCTACACCTTGTGCTTTGAAGGCACAGTCTTCTGTACACCTTGGCTTCTTCTTTATATCCTTAGTTATAAAACTTCTGTTCAGCCAGACCTTGGATGGTTCTCCAGGTTGATTGTTCTATAATTTAGTTTTAATTTTGTTGTGTTCATGGGATGAGGCAAGCACAGCATTTATATACTCTGCCATCTTGGATCTCCCTAAATTGTTTTTATAGTTGGCCCCTTGAGGGCAGGGGTACATCCTTAGTCATGCTTGTATCTCCATGACACCCACACAGTGCTTTACATACACATATACCTCACAGGTGTTGAATTAATGAAAAATGTTTAAATGAGCAAATATGCCTCGTCTCACTAGGTAGGCCCACTAACCTTTCTGGTCTTCAAAGAAGTCCCTTTCAGCCCAGACTACTCAGCTATGGTTCCCCAAGGAGGTTTGTGTGATGACAGAATGCACGTGCAGCTAAGTCATCAATTCCAAGAAAACAATCAGTAAAATGGACTCTGAGCCAACTGAGTGAGTTTAGAGCTATATTCACTAACTCTGGAAAAATAGTTGGCTCACTGGCATCAGTCTGCCACTTTCTCAGTTCTTCATCTGTGAACACTTTGTTTGTTCTTGCCCAGCCACTTGAGTCAGCTGCCACCCATCTCTGTCAGCCATGGCGTCAGAGGAGACATGCACCCCTTGCCTCCTGAGTTCCCCAAGGCTGGTCAGGGAAGATCATGGAGCTCATTGGTCCTCCTGAAGATGGATTTGTTATTCAGAACTGACACTCTGGAAACTACCTTGTCTGTTGGTTCAATAAGTAGGCAATAGACATGGACCATTTTGTTAGCTGACCCAAAACAGGCATTTTGCTGATACCAGAAAAGGAAGAAGGTTGACTCCTTACTTCTAGGAGAAATGGCGTTTTGCCTGGAACATTGTAGACACCTGATAAAATTCACTGAATGGTTAACTAAAGATGGATGTCTTCCAGGCTACAAATTGTTGGTGGATTTGCACTCATTTGATCCTGGACTCTTAGACATGGTCACTGAAATTTTACTATTATTCCCTCATTGGCAAGGGCTCAGACTCTTATCTTGTTTCCTTATATATTCGTAGGACTTTATCTTGTTTCTTTATATACTCATGGGACCTAATGCAGTGCTTTGCCAATGGCAGATGTTAGCAATTAATCCTTCCATTGTTGCAGTCATTGTTCTAAGATCTTCACATATACTAACACACTCAGCCCTCACAATCCTTGAAATAGATTGGATTGTTCTCTCATTTTATAGATGAAAAACCTGAGGTATAGAGAGACAAGTGACTTGCCCAAGGCCTAAGTGAGGAGCTAAGATTTATATTCAGGTAGCCTGGCTCTGGAGTCCATGCCTTGAATCACAAGCTATATTACTTCCCACAAAATGCTAAAAAAAAAAAGTCAACTTGATAGAGTGAATATATACTCATTTGACAGAGTCTCTATATACCAGGGGTGCCAAAAAAAAAGTATACACATGACTTGTCTTCATCTTTTGTTATCGGTATATATTGAGCATTACAATTTTAATACAGTTTTCTCCTTTCTTAAAATATGTATACATTTTTTGGCATCCTCTGTGTTTACACATATACTTACTTCCAGATATGTCTGTGTGTGTGTGTGTGTGTGTGTGTGTGTGTGTTCCATTTGCCAATCATTGTTCTAGATGCTGAGTGTACAGAGAATAGTTCTTGCCATAGATAAATAATTTATAATCTATAAAAGGGGAACAGCTATATAAAGAAATTATTTCAATATTCAAGGAATTAAAATCCACCTGGTTCTATCTTATAACCAAGATAGATGAAAAAGAGATACCTTGGTTCTGTTTCTTAATCTGGGAAGTTAACACAGCTATGCTCCCTTTCTGAAAATTCATTAAGGTGTACACTTAGGGTTTGTGTACTTTTCTCTACACATGTTAAACTTTCATAAAATCGACATTTCAAAAATGTAAAGTGCCTTAGGAGCTCAGAGGATGTACCAAACATCGGTTTTGACTTGAGCCTCTGCCCTGCCCTGGTGTCTAACTGATCACTGGCTCCTTTCTCCAGGTGCCGCCTGTGCCATCCAATGAGGTCAGCTTCTCTCACGTGGCTCCAGAAAATTCTTTTCTTCTTTGGCTCCCTCAGCCACATTCTCCACAGATATGATTTTTTTTTTGAGAGAGAGAGAACTATGCAAGCGTCTCTTTGGAAAAATTTCTAGGGCATTTCCTTCTCTCTAAGATCAGACAGTGACTCGATTTTGTGGCAGTGACACAGGATCTACCTACACAGATACACAGGGGTGGTGAATCATATAAAAGAACATGTACCCTGTGGAGGGCAGAGGCTGCTGGGTACAAACCCTTTTGCTCTAGGTGAGAAGATGGCCCAGGGAATCCCAGCATGCTTTCTCTGTGTTGGGCTTATTCCAGAAAATTCCATTTTATAGCTCTTCAAATATGCTTCATTCAACAAAATACAAAATTTCATGAGACCATCATCTTGACTAGTGCCCCAGACATGAAGAAGTCAGCTGAATTTTCCGTTATTCTATAACAGTATATTGTTACAGTTCAGTATAAGCAGATTGAGTCATTTTATTTGAAACAACACGGTTCCCCCTGCCCCCAGAAATGATGTGTTCACTAAACATGTAAGTATATTTTTTTAAATGAATATGAGCAAGGATATATTTGGGGTTATTAGAATTTGGCAGTCCATTTTATTCTTAAAAACCTAACGCATGTGACTAACCTGTGGCCTCTATAACACGGTTAATTTAAAATATAAGATAAATTTATACACTATTGTAACTGAACACAATAGGGCACATGCAGCACCCCACTCTTCAAGCAAGACTTGCACATTTAGCACTTTATTTTTAGAAGCAAAAGTGCCTGGCAATTTAAATACAATTCAAACATTTGTCCCACTTAACTGTGATAAGATGTCATTCCATTAGACTGTTCTCATTTTGTTTTATCATTTGATTATCCTTCCAAACTGATTTTACTACAGATAGAAATTAGAAAATTTCAAAAAAAATTTTTTTTAGATTATTTTTTATTGTGAAATACACTTTTTTAAAATTAGTTTTAGCTGTACAACACAGTGCAATAGTTATACTTTTTACCCTCGAGGTGACAACCCCCCTCCCCCAATCCATCACCCCACTTCCCCCCCAATATCATACATATCTATTACAATTCCCTTGACTCTACTCCCACACTATACTCCACGTCTTATGACGAGATATATATATATGGGCAAGACATTTTACATTCTTTGTAGTTAAAGATTTGTTTTTTCCTTTCTTCAATTTCTCTTACTCTTAGTGCTTACCTGCTTCCTCTTTCTTTGTTATCCTTATTAAATTCACTGTCAGGGAAGCTTGAGATGTTAATTTATACTAGAGTGTCAATGGTTGGTATGCTCTGTAATCATTTTCCCACTTAAAGATATTGGCATTTTAACAAGAATCAGAGGTTTTCAGTGAAAGATGAGATGGTGGATGGAAGGTTTACCTGGACCACAGCATTCTGAAGCCTACCCCAGAGATGTTCATTGGTCGACATAAGTGCCTGGCTTGTCTGCCTGTGCAGATCCCGCAGCCACGATCACTGGCTAGCACACGGACACCTTGACTGAGGCACCTGGTGGCAGGTACTCAGGTAAACTCATGAGGGCATGCCCCTCAGGGCTGGGAGCTGCTTCTGTTTCCCAAACACTTTCAGAAGCCTTGGGTTCCAGGAAGTTGTGTTGAGAGTGTTGACTGACCTCTTGTATCCTCTGCTTCTCTGTGAATTCCAGGCGGGCTGCCGTGTATCTGCTCATGGCTATGACCGACACAGCCGTGCAGAGGGCAAAAGAACCCCAGGCGAGGCTGCCAATAAAAGGCACAGTTAGGAAAGAGCAGTGGGGCTATGTTCCCAGGCTTCCTGCTGGGGTCAGTCTGGTGAAAAAACAGCTCCCAGTTCTACACAATTTGGGCCTGGATTTTAGATCATAAGTTTCAGAGCCCAGCCAATGTGGTGTGGCCCGATGGTGAAGAGTGCAAATTCTGGAGTCGTTGTGCTGAATTTGCACCTGAGGTTTTCACCCATCTCTTATGAACTGTGCAACCTTGAGCTGGGGACTTCACTTCTCTGTGTCAGTTTCCTCATTTTGCAAAACTGGAATAATAATAACACTGCCCACAGGGTGGTTGTGAGGAATTCAATGAATTAGTGCTTGAAAAGTACTCAGCATAACATCTACTACATGTAAGTGTTACTTTTTGTTATTATTATTGTTGGCTCTAGCCAGGACACTAGCAATGGGCATTGGCATTTTTATATCCCTACACTCTGGAAGCCTATTGCCTTCGAGATAACGGTCTACACTTTTTAGTTTTCACAGAACCCAGCAAGGTGGTCGTTGAGAAAAAACCTCTACACACATTTGTGTAAGTTTTTATGGGGTGGAATTCCCAGGTAAAATAGATGGCTCCATACCCAATCAACTACAAAAAAAAGTCCACGAGTACCTAAATTCCAACCACTCTCCAGGGCTTCCAATCCTTAAATATGAATTGACAATCAAGAAGCTTATGGGTAACTGCACTGTACACCTGAAGCTGATGTTGTATAATATTGTATATCAACTATAAGTGAATATATTTATTTATTTATTTATTTATTTATTTATTTATATAGTCATGGGAGGTGGAGTATGGTGTGGGAGTGGAGTCAAGGGATTTGTAATAGATATGTATGATATTGGGGGGAAGTGGGGTGGCGGATTGGGGGAGGGGTTTGTCACTTTGAGGGTTAAAAAGTATAACTATTGCACTGTGTTATATAGCTGAAACATTCTAAAAAATGTGTATTTCATAATAAAAAATAATTAAAAGAAAAAAAAAAGAAGCTTATGGGTAACAGTAACACAGACATGTTGACTAAACCCTGGAATAGTAACATGAGGGAGGGAGTCCTGACTCTTGTTATTTATTTTATAAAGAGGAAGCTAACACAGGTTGTTATACAGGATAAAAATGTAAGCATATGTATACATATTTTGAAGATGCAGCTGTAGTTTGGAGGTCCGCATCAAAGAGAACCCGTGTGGTCTTTTATGACATGGTTGAGTCTTTCTGTCAGAGACAGAACTGCAATGTCATGGTCTTGTCTTTCCATTAGAAACGGGAGCTGGGTCTCCCCCATGGAAGTATTTATTAGGAGTTATAGCTCAGGACATTTCTCCCTAAGCTGTTTTTATGAATGTAATAACAATATCTCCATTTCTTGAAGACTTTTCTCTATGCCAAACATTTTAGAAACATAACTTCTTTAAATGCCTATGAAAACATTTGAGACAGGTATCATCACTATACAGATAAGAAAATTGGGCTACAGAGAGTTTAAGAGAGTAATCCGCAGTCGTAAGAGTAGCAGGTGCCAGAGCTATGACCAAGATCAGTGGTCCTACACACCCTGTGTGTATCCTCACTGTCCATCAGAGCTTGAGCATTCTGGGAAATGGCTCACCAGTATGACTAGCCAGAGCCCCACGTCTGAGGCCTCTAGTCTTCCGACCCAAGGTTCACGGTGATTTGAAAAATGGTTGTGTACATCATGTGAGCCACCATGCCTAGGAGCCCTGTACAAGGAAAGCTTTGTGAGCTTTGAGTTAAGAACGCAGTTTCTCTACCTGGCATGAGTTGAATATAGGGAGCCCACCAGCATCCTCCTTGACCCCTTCCAAGCAGTCTTCATGTTTCGCATATACACTAATTTCTTATTATACTCATGAATCTATGCAGTGGTGTGTGTCCCTTTGCCATGTCATTCCTCCCATGGGCAGTGACCAACTGAAAATTGGCTTTAATGGCCCAAATAGAAATTAGTTTTAATTGGTTGGAGCAATTATTTATACATTAATGGGAATGGTTCAAGTCTTTACAATGCACCTACACTTATAAATCTTTAAACATTCCACCTGGCATCTCATTCACACAGTTGAAACTAAAAAGACATCCAGAAGGAGGCCTCCTCATGACCTTCAGGGACCTTGAGGGATGCCAGGACGTGGAGGAAGAGCCTCCAAGAGTCCACAGCCTGGCTCTTTCCTATGAATATTCAGAGAGTGGATTTTGTCATCCTATTCACTGATGATAAGACTTGGAAAAGACTTCATTATACTTATCAAGCACAGAAATGATCTATCAACTGGACTGATGCCTAGCAACAGAGCCTTGTATATCCAACCAAAGAAATGAAGGAAGTCATTGTTCAAGGTCCTTTTCTTGGTAAAAGGCTCACTTAAGAGACCAAATTAAGTTGCTTTAAAAGTTGCAAGGATAGCACAGAAGTAAGGCCCAAAAAATGAGCTCTTTTTTCTTATGGGATATTTACACCAAAATTGGATAATAATTTTTAATCAAGCTACCATTTATTACTTGCTACATACTAGGTGCATTCTTATTTAGTCATCACCATATAGTTTTGAGATATCTAGCTTAGCAAAGTTAGACAACTTGCCCAGGGTCACACAGCCATTAAGTAACAAGGTCTGAACCCAGGCAGCATTTCTGCACAGACTCATGCCTAATCACTGTGTTAAATTATGCACTTTCTGTTCTCAGAGTCAGTGTACTCCCTTCCTAGGGTTGTGATAAAGACATACTGATACATTTTACTCACCATCTATGCCGATTCCTTTTCTTTTCATCACCCACCCAAAGCATCATTGTTTCTTCCAATGGGATTAACTCAGTGACTTCTCCAGTGGAGCAGCCATCTTGCTGAACTGGCCACTGACGGGAAAGAGCCAGCCTGAAGCTCTGCCAGTTTCTGTGGGGAACGTGGCTGTTCTAATGATGCTGATGAGCTATTGGGAAGCGCCTGCAAGAACCATGAGGATGGCTACAGAGGTATCCACCTTGAGCCAGTGGACCCCAGAGCTGCAGTAACTCATTTCGGAGCCCAGGAGGATGGCACTTGTCAACATCAGAAGGATATTCAGGACCTCAGCCCCAACAGACAGCCACAGCACACCTGCAAAATGTAGGGATGGCAGAGATGCTGCACATTTAGAATTCAGAAGTATTAGGGTATTCAATCTTTTTATTTAGTTCACTTTTAAAACAAACAAAAAAATAAACAACAAACACCACAGGGTGAAAAACCACAGATACCTCTTGAATTTTGGAAAGCTGGCAATGAAAGGGTTTCTAGGGCTTGAAAGATGAGTTTATAAAGACTGTCTTTAGCTGGGAAGAAAAAGGGAAAAAAGGAACTAAAGCAAAACTCTGACGTGAGTTCATGAGAGATGCTAGGGTCTCCATTCCCCAGTTCAAACATTAATGTGTTGTTTTGATTCCACCACAAAACATTGTCTTTTTAAAGAAGAAGCTAGATCTACACAAGGGAGCCTTAGAGTTTTAAGAGCCCTGGTTAGAGATGTCAAAACCTCACTTGTTCCTGTGTGAACCAGTTACTTATCCTCTAGTGGGATGCCACCTGAAGCTTGAAGGAACTGCGTTGTGTGCGGAGGGGAACAGATAAAGGGGACAAGAAGGAAAACTAATATTTGTAAAAGGCCTCCTGTAAGGCAAAATTAATACTAGAGATACAGCTATGAATGAAACAGAAGTGATCCATATACTAAGAAAATAAGTACAAATTGGATGAGTGTCTTAGAGAAGAAAAAGTGCTATAGGCAGTGGAGTGCCAGACCTCATCTCTTCCCAACTCTGCATTCACCTCATGTTGATAGCTTGAAATTAGCCATGGTGGGAGTATTTACACCATGGAAATTGGCAAACACTACTGATCAGGGCTTCCCCTCCCTACTGCAAAATTGTTTGTTTAACATTTTCCAGCACCACCAACTACAGGGCACGTGAAGAGAGCCAGTGGTTCTAGCTTTTGGACTCAAGTTCATGGAAAAACCGTAAATAACTCTCTCATCGTTTCCCTCACCCCAACAAAAACAATAAAAACTGCCTGGATTGTGATGAGAGCTGTAAGACACAACATGAATAAGGTACTCACCTTGTTCTTCAGCTGGTATCATACTCTGGAAACTCCTACCCTCTTCACCTAGAAAATAAAGAGAATGTATGCATTAAGTAGGGTTAACCTTGACGATTAGGGGCCAACTGTGTTCCTAGCCCCTTCAGTGTATCCCAGGTCATTTTGAACAAGGATTGGGGTGTGTGGCAGACTGTTGTATAGTACACAGACATGTGGTGCCCCTCCCTGTAAGAGTTTAATAGGGTCACTCCCTAGTAAATCCAGGCTTGGCCATGTGACTTCTCTTTGGCCAATGAATTAGGAATGGAAGTGAAGTGGGTCACTGCTGGTCTTAAGCTTTCAGAGCCAAGGCATTGTTCATCTGATTCTCATTCCCCTGCCTCTGTGGTCACAGAACCACGTATCCATATAGACTTTCCATCAGCCTAAGTCTCTGAATGGCTGCAGTGAGGAAACACCCCTTGCCAACCTGAAAAGTACACATAGAATGAGTTAGAAATAAATTTCTTGGTTTAAACCACTGGGGTTTAAGGGTTGTTTGTTATTGCAGCAGAACTAGCCCATCTGGACTGATACTGCTAGGTTTAGACCTGTGGTTTTTTGCTTCCCAAACACCATCCATTATGATACGAGTCCCCAATAATTTGTTTCTGGTTAAAGGGAAAGTAATAACGTTTGTAATGATTTTTGTAAATAAATTAGAGCAGATTCAGAACTGTCTCTGTCGCTAAGTGACCCAGCTGCTTGCATTCCATCACTTTCTGGAGCATGAAAGGAAAGGGAGAGGTTATTGTGTGTGCACCAGGTACTGGACAGAAGCCACCACCAGACTTAGTGTTCCTGGGCGGTGTGTGTGTGTGTGTGTGTGTGTGTGTGTGTGTGTGTGTGTGTGTGGCGTGTGTTGCCTGGATTATCTGTCATGTTGCACACATTGGCTGGAAGAGCTTGTGTTGCTGCCTTAGATAAATAGTTCCTTTGAAAAACTAAGTCCATAAATAGCTACTTGTGTATGGATGTAGCTAAATTCTGGTTTGGGGGGTGAGTGACAGATGGAGGATTGAGACCATAGCAAATTACCCTTCTGAGGTCCTGTTCCAAATGGGTCCCCACTCTCTCTCCATTAATACTTCAGCCCCAAATTGAATCACAAACCACAGAGTGGGAGGAGCCTGCGAAATCGCCTGGTTCTTCCCTGCATGGTTTCGAGGAGTGGGCTGAGGGACCTCTGAGAAAGATTGATTGGTACAAGACAATACAGGTAGAGTTTCAGCATTAGAACTCAGGTCGGCAGAGGCCCAGCTCAATGCTATCCTGCCACATCATTGATTTAATGCAATCCGGCAAGCATTGGATAAGTGCCAGGGATGCAAAGATGCCCGAGAACACAGGGAGCTGCTCCCAGCCTGGACTGGTAGCAGCTAAAACAGAGCAAGATGCAAAAGCAAGAGGGCATAGGTCATCAGCTCTTCAGTGGAATGGCTTTCCTATCTCTATAACTGGTTCCATAGTCCCCACATTAACCTTCCTTTGAAAATCAAATGAGATAAATAGATAAGAAAGCATCTCTCACAGCTAATATGCACTTACACCTTATTAGAATAAAATGATCTCATTGGGCTTTTTTTGCATATGGTTAGCATGAATCATTATTTATTTCTAGACTGTAAGTGCCCTGAGATCACCTATCTTTTCTGGAAGTTTTCAGGGACAGAAATAACTTTGGGGAGAATCTTTAGACTTCAGAAAATGTTTTTCTTTTATAGGAGAGAAAACTCCAGGTAACTTTTCTATTCAGGAACTTACAATGGCTCCCTAGTTCCTCCAGCCTCAAGTCTAAATTCCTCTTCTTTTTATGTTCCCCCTCCATCCACCTGACCTCCCAACGCAGAGCAGTCACCTTCTACCTCGTCAGGCTCTCATGGGAAGGACAATATGTGTGAACAGGTGCATACTTCATGTGGTCCGTGCCTAGAGGCCGTACACCTTAAGATTTGCTGGCTCCTCCTCCTAACACTCCAGGGGCCCTGAGGTTTCCGGCGCGCCTGCACTGCCCTTCTGCTGGGCTGTGGGAAGAAGAGGAAAAACATCTGGGTTTATGATGCAACAATTTGGTTGGGCTGCTCTGCTGGGATACTTTCCGACTGGCTTGTGCAGCAGGAACTCGTCTGAAACATAACTGTCCACAAGTGGCCTGAAGGAGGTAAGTGTACCACCTGGGGCTGAGAGCCACAAAGTCAGGGACCCAACTGCTAATCCAGCCACAGGGACCTCACAGCTTTTTATGCAAGTCAGGTTGGGATTGACGCAATTGGACATTTTCCCTGGATGATTCTCTGGTTTGAGCAGCAGCGGTGGTATTATGGTCACAGTAACAAAAATTCATCCTGGTCCACTGGTTCTATCAGGGAGGTCCCCACAGCATTGGGGAAGTATTGGGGAAATCTCAGCACTACCCTTGCCCTCTCACAAAGTACTGGGAGGCAGACAAGGCCCTTTTTCCACGTCCTGTCATCAGATCCTCACTACGCCCCCTGCGTCAGACCAGCAGTGGGAATAGCAGATGGACATCAGGGAGAGAACGTGGCATTCAGGTCCAAAGGGCCTGTCTCTTATGCCTGGTTCTGCCACAGTCAGTAATCATAGGAAGCTTCCTGACCTCTCTGAGCCTCGCTTGCTTCATCTTCAAAGTGGTTATGATAAAAGTCCTCCAACGTGAAAGTATTTTGTGAACTGCCTCCCACTTGTCTGTGTGTCTAATTACTGATAGAGGCAAATACAAGCATCCCTGTTTTGCACATGTGGAGGCCAGGCTGAAACAGGTTGGTAGGGTCAGGACGTGAACCTGGGTTTTCCCACCTAAGACCCGGTACCTTTTTCTGCTTCCCCTCCTGCTGTCTTTCTACCTCGCGCATGGATGGCTAAGGGTCTATCTTGTCTCCTGAAGAGTCCGCCTTTTCTCACAGGAATGAGGCGAAGGCCAGGTCCAGAGCCAGGGGCAGGACACAGGGATAGTGCTGGCTCACCAAGGAGATGAAGAGAATTCACGATGGCTTAGGAGGGTGAGGTTAGCCTGGGTGGAAAGAGTCAGAGCATAGTGATCCCTTGATTAATATCAATCCTCAGAAGTGGTGTTCCTTTTGAATGAGGCCAGCAGGATTAAAAGGGAAAACCTTTATAAATCCCATGAAGCCAGAGTGGCGGGTGCCACATTGCTCGATGGTGCTTGGCCAGCCAAGGGGTACAGCCAGCCAGCTGGGAAATGGTGTCCAAGTCCCCGGTGATTGCCTCTGGCATCCCCTCTCTGTTTCTTCCCCCTCCCCCTTATGGGGTGCCCAGGCCCCTCTGTCCTTGAACTTTTTGAGGTTAACAGACCAGCATAGAATCAGAAATCAACACATTTTATTGACTAAGTCATTTACCTAAGGAAAGAGATTTTGTCTAAGTGCCGCCTGAACAGGAATTTTCATTTCCAATCTTCACTTCAGAGGGTGGAACCCAAAGGTGCTGCCTCCCTTTAAAGGCCTGTTAGGAATTAGGAAGTGCAGAGCTGTACAAGGTGATTTGTGCAGAAGCTATCCTGAAATAGCTCTCCAGATAAAGGCCCCCGGGACGGTCAACTTTTAGGTTTGGGTGATGGAGTCAATTCAGAGGAAAAGTATCCAGTGAGGCCTCAGGGGACCATCGGATACCAAGAGGACCCTCTCCTGGGAACCCAGGAGTGTCCTCCCCAGCCTGGAGTCCTTGCTTGCTGGTCTCCTTAGCTCCTCTCACCCACTCTGACCCCCCTTCCAAAGCACTGTCTGGATGCCTTCCCATTTACCTCCAAATTTCCCAGGCACTTGAGATAAGCTAGACAAAATAACAGATGTTTGTGAGGAATGATTTCCAGCCAGGGGCCCCAGGCTACATTCTATTGCAGACAGGCTTTCTTGGGCTTATGCAATGTTTTTAAGATATTGGAAGATTTCACATGGAAATCCCAGTATCTTACTTCCCTTGAAAAATCAGAGGATCTGACAACATGGAGCTCACAAGCCCACGTGACCATAAAGCTGAGCTGAGCAAGGAAGAGGCTGCTCCCTTCAGATGAGGATGAGATTTCAAGGTCATCGGCATCACGGGCTGGCCTTCCTTCATTCACTTTTGTTACCACCTCCTGTAGGCATTTATTTGCAACCCCTGATGTATGCCTTTTGTTTTATTCCCTTATTTGTTTGCTATTATTTTAGTTATTATGTAGTAAAAATTTAATTCTAAACTTTTTGCTTTAGGGGCATCTTGTAGCACTTGAAGGTGATAATATTTCTCTCGGGGGAAGAAAGGTGTTTTGGGGATGTCCTTTCCTCCTTCTTAACAAAGTGATGACACTATTTAGAGACCCTGGTTTACTTGGATGACCTTATTACATTAGGAAATATATAAAAGTGTGAGCAGAGATTTTTTATTTTAGATGGATGAATACAAGTATAAGACCATTAATTGCTCTTCAGTTAAGTTTTGGGTATTGTGGGGTAACAGGGGAAGTCTGGGCTAAGAGTTAAAATGTTTGAGTCCTCTGTTTATCTCTGCCAGTATTGAGCGGCACAGTCTTCATTAGGGGCACTTGTACCTCTAGAACTCAGTTTTGCCATCTGTAAAATGAGTCTGTTGTTCTAGACGAGCCCTTTCCAAAGAGCATTCCACTGAACAGTCATCTCACAGAATAGTAATCCTTATTCCACAGAGACACGTTTTTTCTATGGTCAACTAATTTTGGGAAATGCTGGGATGTGTAATATTAAACAGGTTTCTTTATTGTGGGGCTTGTCAGAGATTTTAATAAGCTGGTATGACTTTCCAAGAAGAAAATGTAGTAGGTGGGATTTTCCAAAGTTGTTTGAGTATGAAAACTCTGTTCATTTAATTTTATAAGGAATATCTCAATAGGTATCTCTGTGGAATAATCTTTGAGAAAACCCAGCAAGGTACTTATTAAAGCCTCTTTCTGTCTTGACATCAAGTATGGAAGATACACATAAATCATAAAGCAGTCAAAAATACAATTTTTATTTCTACTTGGCTTTGTCCACGAATCACTGAGAACATTAACCCTTCTTAACCTTCAGCATGTGTTCCTGAAAATATATGAAAAACCTTTCAGCGGTGTGATCCACAAGAAGGCAGTGTGTGTGCAGTAAACACTCCATGGGCTGACAAAAGCACCAAGGGGACTCCTGTCTCTAGAGGGAGATGCCTGAAAGATCCTTACACAGCCCCTTAACAGTGCTTTCTGCCCTGTTTCAGGTTGAGAAAGCCCCCGCTCCTTCCACTTGAGTAACAGTTTTTTATCAGAAAGTCCAGGGACAATTTATTATCTAATTGCATAGTGTTTGTGTAAATATATGAGGCGTACACCACTTACAGGTAGATAGTTTGCAGCTGCTTCTGGTCCTCCCCTGAATTTCGTACCTTTACTGGTGCTTAAGAGATGAGGTTTCCAGTCCTACCCTTTCCTCAAGCCCAGGCCATGCACAGTCCCTTCTCCTAGTCCCCTTGTCATTGGGGAAACAGTTCCCATCCACCGATTTTTCTAACTCTTGTCCTCAAGCTCAGGTTCTATTCTGGCCTCGCCTCCCTGACATTACAAATAGTAACAATTTTAATTTTCTCCAATTAGGCTTCTAATTTTTCTCCAATTAGGCGTTTTCATTCTAGGGAATATTGACCCATTCAGGTTCTTGTCCTGGCGTGACCATGACCTTATGTTACAGCGGGGGAGAAGCTGCTTTGGTTGACCCTGAAGAGCTACGTGAGTTAAGTTCTTCTGTAATGAGGCTTCCTGGTCTCCCCTGCTTTGTGTTCCGATGCAAACACCTGGGCTGTCCTGCCTCAGACCTTTGCTCATCCCATTCTGTCTTCCTGGAATATCCTCACACCCAATCTGTATCTGTTGGGTTGTCGGGAAAGTCATGATGCATTTTTGCATTGAAAAACATAGAAAAATATGTCATGACTTTCTCGATGACCCAATATTAGAATCACAGTCCGGCTTTGAGGCCTGCACAGTGGCCACCTCCTTTAGGGAGCCTTCCCCATGCCCAGAGCAGTAAATAACCTTTCCCTCCTTTCCATCCCCACATCACATATGAGTCTTTGTTATAAGACATATTTTTCATATTTTTCCTTGTTTTAGTTTTATCTCAGTTCTCATCATTGTGGCTCACTTGCCTTTGTATCCCCTCATTCTCCTAGTCCTGTGGCTGACATGGAAATGGTTTGTAGTGAATTCATTCTACTCTGCTCTGAGTCCCCGCTTTCCAGGAGGCTGTGCCGTATCTTGGGGTGTGAGGGAGCTCATCATAAATACAGATAACACCAGGTAGAAAAGAGAGCTGAGGGGAATGAAAAACAATGCTATGAGGATGGAGAAAGAAAATGCAATTAGAAATTCCAGGAAAAACAAACAGCTGTGCAAGAAATTTAAGATAATGATAGCACCTCCTCGATTCTGTGATGAACAATATTTACGTAGTCTAAAGAAATTGTTGTTTATTGATTTAAATAAAACAGCAATATAACTATATTGAGAGGATGGCACAGCAGGTGTCGGATGTGGTGGTGTGAGAGATTTATCCTTATCTATTATAACAGGAAGTCAATAGACAATGTCTAACATAAAGACAGCAATGTCAGCATATTTTTTGGAAACATAGAGGCAAATACTAGAAGAAACAAATAAGCTAAAAGTGGTTTCCCATCAAGGGTGGGACTACACTATAGGGCAGGAAGGAGCAAGAGACTCTGTTAGTTTTCCTTATAAGCCTTTCAAAATGATTCAATATCTTATCTATGTGCAAATATCACCATGACTAAAACTCTCTTTTTAATAAATGCAGATTTTTTTAGACCTCATTTTAGACCTGCTGAATCAGAATCTCCAGGGCTGGGCATCTGGAATTTTAAGAACACCCTGGATGAATGCAATGCACACCAACATTTGGTAACTGGTATGAGGCTTATATGTAGCTGTGAAAATAAAAGTAGGCATTCTTCAGGTGGGGCTTGGAAAGGGAGTTGAAATTCCCAAGCAATTTACCTGTGGGTATAGTGACCATATTTTCCAAACCAAAAATCGGAGACTGCCTTGGGGACCCTCCAGGATGCATGAGCCTCCTGTGTCTGTCCATGAGGGTAGAAAGAGTAAACTTATAGGCAGAAAGTTCACTCCTCAGAGGAGAAGGATGTGGAAAGACCCTCAAGTAGCCTTAGGGTCTGCAGTGTCTGCACCGCACTTAATGCCAAGTTCATGGGCACTGACCTGGGCATATGAGAGGGTAAGGCTTGGCACTGCCCCTCTGCAATGACCACTGGGATAGGGATGAGGAGGCGTACACAGCACCTCAGAAAGTTACTCCTTGTTGCCTTTTACTTAGACTTCAGGAATAAACAACTAATGCTATGAGTATGAGAAAAGAAAAGGCATTTAAGAACTCCAGGAAAATTTAAAAGTCATACAAGAATTTGATGTAATAAACCTGAGGTCAAGAGAGAGATGGGGATGAAGAGGGGTCCTTGCCTTTCCACCTTTAGGGTGTGCTTCTCCAGCAGGAAGGGAAGAACTTTCTGGCCCCAAGCAGGGCCTTGGGTTTGCAGCCAGGCTGCCTAACACTGAGGAGTCCAATTCTTCCCTCTTCAGTTCTTTATGAGGTAAAAACACTCTTTTCTGAAATATGTGCTCCAAATACTCACCCTTTCCTTCCCTTTTCTCTCTCCTCTTCCTTCACCATTTCCTTCACCACCAACCTATCAAAGCCACAGAAGTTCAGAAGATATTAATAAATCAAGGCTGAGTAATATGGTGGGGAAAGAAATGGGCTTGCTGGCAATGTGACTTGAAACTCTCTGAGCCTCAGCTTCCTCATTTGCGAGCTGAGGAAATAAAATGTACTTTGCTAGGTTATTTCAAGGATTGCCTGAGATAAAGGTCAAACTTGTTAAGGAGTTTACTCCTGAGAGTTGCTTTGCTCCGTATAGGGGTTTCCTTCCCATCGACGATGTTAAAAGCCTGTTATCTAAGAGAACCTTCCATTCTAAGACCCCTTAAAAGTGCAGGGATGCAGTTTAGAGTTGGGGCCACTTTTTATTCTTCAGGGACTGGGTGACCCTCGCAAGTGGTAAAAGCTAAGGTTTCATAGATTCTGATGCTGTATCAGGCATTGTTGCCAGTGCTCTATGTGAATCCGGTCATTTCCTCTTTATAGCAACTCGAAAGATGAGAACGGCAATTGTTCCTATTTTATAGATGAGAAAACAGAGGCTCAGAGAGGTGAAGGGACTTACTCAAGGATACATATAGGCAGACAGTGGCAGAGCTGGGGTTCAAACCCAGGCAGCCTGGCTCCAGAGCTTCTGGCCACCATCCTGCACCTGTCACCCCCAGAACCTGTGGGCCGCACTCACCTGTGCTGCTGAGGCTCTCCAGGCAGGACTGCCAGAGCCCCACATGGAACCTGCACTGGATGAGCTTGTCGTCCCCCATCTCCCAAATGTACCGGACAGCCTGGCTCCCGTTGTCCCTCCTGCTGTCCCTGCAGAAGTGAATGCAGGGCAGGTCCCCCGGGGGGTCCTGGCACAGTGGCTTTGCCACCCTCCGTGTCCCCTCTTACCAGTGGCTACTGCTCACGGCGGTGAGGGAAAAGGCGAGGGTGAGGCAGATGGCGGGGACGGTCGTCACCCACTGCCACCGGGCCCTGTCCATGGCTGCATGAGGTGTGCAGCATCGGGATGAGCAGTGGGCCCCTCCGCCCCTTCCTCCTCACAGCACCCACCCTCCTCAGCCCTGCCATCTGGCATCCTCACAGTCTTCTGTCACACCCCCCGGGGGAATCGGAGCACTCCAGCCTGTGACGTCCATGTGAATGCCTGAGGCCTGAGAAGGCCACATGAGAAAGCACAGAGCTGGGACATGCTCCCATCACAGTCCTCCCAAGGATGTAGATGTTTAGGAGGGCGCTGGTTTTCTTTCTTTTCCTTTTTTTTTTAACTGTGGTGAAATAAGCATAACATACAATTTACCATCTTACCCATTTTTAAGTGCACAGTTAAGTGCATTCACATTGTGCAACCCATCCCTAGAACTCTTCATCTTGCAAAACTGAAACTGTCCCCATTCAACACCCCATTGCCCCTCCCCGCCGCAGTCCCTGGAAACCACCGCTCTACGTTCTATATCTATGAATTTGATCCCTGTAGGTATAAGTGGAATTTACCTCTTTGTGACAGGCTTATTTCACTTAGCATGATGTCCTCAAGCTTTATCCATGTTTACACGTGTCAGAATTTCTTTCCTTTTGAAGGCTGAATAATACCCCATCATGTGGATAGACTACATTTTGTTTATCGGTTCATCTGATGGACACTTGGCTTGTTTCCACCTTTGGCTGTCGTGGAGGGTGCTGGTTTCTGATGGAAGACCAGGGGCGGTTTGGGTGGGTGTCTGGCCTTTGGTCTTGAGCCTGGTCCTCCGCATTGGATTCGGGGAACCTTAAGGCCTGCACAGCCTGTTCCCTGCCCAGCCCTACAGAGAGGGACTGCTGAGGACAACTTCCTATTGTGGGGGCTCTGAGAGACTTGAGGTACAGACAGCCTGCTTCAGGGCCTAGGCGCTGTGCAGAACAGGGGAGGGTGTTTGCAACCCATGTGAGTACAGAATTCAGTGTTACCCTGGGGCTTCCAAAGCTGGCAGGCAGAGCCCTTGACACATCACTCATGCCATTGTCAAGGGGGCACTGCAGGAGAGGTGACGTGGAGGAGACTTAAGTTGCTTTCTGGTCGGAGGACACTGATGAAACAGTGAGAGCAGGAGAGTAGCAGAAGACTCCACCTGGCATCTGAAACACACGAGTTCTTGATTACATGTGAGACGCCTCTTGAAAACCCCAGATATAACCAACAATCTGCCAGCCTGGGCAGGTAGGAGAAAACGGCAGTGCTATTTGGGTTAATGCCACTCCGTCTGCACTTTCCTGCTGGCGAAGGCCGAGACACTGTAAGTGCTGTCAGGAGCCCATGATCAGTGAGCGTTTGCTTGGAGCCCTGTGTCGTCTTGTGGGAAGAGGAGTTACCATGTTTTATCACTAGATGGCATCCGTCCAACAGACCTGGAAGTCGTGTGCGGCCCCAACCCCTGTCCTTTCAGAAAAAGGATGCCTCTTGAGAAAAAGTTGAAAGAGATTAGATAGAATATTCGTACCGAGCAGGCATTTTCTTTGCCAGCATGCAATTTAGAAGGTAGCTTAAATGTGCTGTTACAGAATAGCTTTATAGCCATATCAAAAGAATCGGAGTCTGTCACGTGGGCACTGTTCTCCCTCTATGCCACTTTATCCTGCTCTTTGCTGTCCCAAAGAGACAACCACCTTGACTGCAGAGGTCACATCATTATAAGAGTTGATTTTTGGGGGGGGTCTTTGTACATTATGAGCATTTACTGCTAAGGTTTAAAATGTTGCCACATGGGGTTTTTAAGATTTCCAAGGATTTCTATTAAGGGATGCTCACCTGTTTTCTCCCAACCATTCAGAATCCACTCAGTTAGATAAGCTAACCAAGGTGAGCTCCTATAGTGCAACTTGAAAGGGAAAAAAAAAATGAGAACATGTTCTTTTTATCTCTTGCTGACCTGTATTTCATCCAATCAGGACACGTCCCACCTGGGCCTCCAGTTCAGGGGGCTGGGAAAGCTTGGCAGGGAGCTGGACAGGGAGAGGTGGGATCAGAAGGGCCTTTCAGAGGCACAGTGATGAGACTACTAGAAAGAAAGGGACTCTTCTAGAGAGTTAGGGCAAGATATGGCACCTTACCAAGTAGCTCTGGTCAGGTGACTCTGGTCAGAAGACCTGGGATAGTATCCTGACTCTGCCATGTACTTGCTGTGTGGCCTTGGGCAAGAAACCTAACCTCTCTGAGTCTCCATTTCTCAACTGTCAAGTGGAGACGTAATCACACCGCCACAGGGTTATTGTGAGGATGAATGAAATAGAACACAGGGTGAGAAGCTTTTGTAAATGTGAATTGTGGTGAGAAAGCATAAACGGGATGGTTAGTAAACGGTGGATCATAAATTCCATAAAAGGATCTGCCAGGTGGGCTGAACGACACTTTCAGAACAAGTGGGCAATGAAGAACAGTGCATGTTTGACTTTTCAGCACGTTGTTTGTTTTGCTATCATGTAGACAGAATCCAAGTCGCTGACGGTTTTTGCTTCAGACCCTGGGTTAGGAACTGCTCTCTCCTGGGCTGGGCAACTGTGTCTCTTGAAGTCTTAGCATAAACAGGGCCCAGAGGAGGCCTGGACAACCTTGGCGGCTGGGCTCAGCCTGGCCTGGACAATCTTAAGGGCTTAGTAAGAAATGTACCCCCTCATGAAGACACCCACCTCAGAACTGGCTCAAGGCCCATCGTCTCGGGCCAGCTGTTCCTCAGGGCTCGAAACCAAGCCTGTTGCACCCAGGTCTTGTGTCTTGAGCTGGGCCTCATGGGTGGAACCTACTGACTGCCTTGCTTTTTCTCTTTGGCCTCTGCAGAGGATGTCCCAGAGAACACAGCTGACTTGGGGGAGGTCTGGGAAAAATCTCCCTGCCTTTGAGGGGGGGAGTAGGGTGGGGGCTGAGCTACTGTGGATGAGAAACTTTGGAGATTCAGTAGATTGGTCTAGACTGGTCCAGACGCTCTTGGCGCGGTGTGGAGAGGATTTGTGCAAACATTTCCTCATTGTACAAAGAGGAATGCAAAAGGAGGCTGCCTGTGGTACATCTTGGACTGTTAAGCAAATGTGCCCACACTTGTGAAAGTACAGCGAGAAAGATGAGGTCGGAACCCAGCAGAGCAGGGCCTGGGAGAAGGAACGTGGGGCCGTTGCCCCGAGTCCATGTGCTGCCCACCCGAATCCCTGCTGCCAGGGGCGCTGGTCCTCTCTTCTCCTGCAGGAAGTGCTCTCTGCGGTCCCCTGTGAGGCCCCTCCTCACTCTGCTGCTTCTGGTTTCCATCAAACAAGTAAGAACAGTTTTTGTTGTTATTGTTGTTATTATTATTAATTGTACATGCTTACTGATTATAGAAGCAATTTAAGCCTCTTGTAGGCAATTTAGAAAATATAAACCAGTATTAAGACAATAACGGTCAACCATAATCCTAGCGTTCAGGGGTAATCACTGTTAATATTTTGGCATATTTTCCTTAAATTCATTTTCTCTGCTTTTTTTTTTACACAGCTAAAATGACGATGCATAAAACATTTTGTATCCTGATTTCCCCTTTACATCATATTCTAAGCATTTTCCCATGTCATCGTAAACTCTGTAAATAGCATTTAAAGTTGTTGCATATATCCTCCTGTCTGCTTCTATCATTCTCTCATGTTTGAGTGTTTAGGTTGAATGGATAGTTCGTTTGTTTTTTCTTTTCTTTCCTTCTTCCTTTTTTCTTTTTTCTTCTCATTATAAAAATATAGGATGCTAGTTGTTTTAAAAAGTAAACTTATAAAATCCAAAGAAGCATAAATACAAGCTACAACTCACTGCACTGCCACTACTCAATAATCACTCCCATTCACATTCTGTGGCTTCAACGTCCAGACATTTTTCTGCCATTTATTTACATATAGTTTTAAAAAACAAACAAACATATGCTTTTATTATAAATATTATCTTGCAATCTACTTCTTCTTAACAAAATACACTAATAACACAGGCTAACATTTTTATTGAACTCTTATCATGCACGAAGTCTGGTGCCAGGTGCCTCCCTTACATGATCTCATTTCACGCTCTCAGCAACCCTGTGAAGGGAGCTCTCCTGTTAATCCCACTTTACAGATGAGAAAACTGAGTCTGGGGAGGTTGACTAGTTTTCTATATCAGTAAATGTAGCTCCATGGCATAAGGTTTAAGGGCTTTAAGGACGTATTCTAATGTGTGTAACCATGCTCTTTAGTTGGGCCAGTCTTGTACTTATCAAAGGAGATGGGACCTTTGCTCCATCCCTTTTCAAGTTTCCATTTTTACACTGGGCTGTGATGTGAAGGAACTCCAGCTCCACTCACCCGAGTAGAGAAAGGGCCTTGAAGATGTTCTCTTCTTCCTTTGGTCCATGGGCAGAGTTAGTCCCTCGTTGCAGCCTCGGAATTCCAAATTGCCCCTGCCCCCAGAGAGGGAGGACTGGGGTGCCAGATCTCATAAGTATTCACCTTATTGGGCTTTCTTTGGTGCTAGCCCAGGACCGAATAGGCAGAAAACCCCTACTGAATTTTCTGCATTCAAATTCTCTCAGAGGCTGCCTTCAAGTCCTCACAGCAGATTGTAGATGTGAGCCCTGTCAATGGTTTCATGGAATTCTTGCTGTGGTGGCAGCCTCTGGGTGAGTGAACAGAACATTTCTGAGGGGCGGGGGACCCTGGCCTGCCTCCTACCTCAGGACTTAATTGGTTAGTGGCGGGATTTGGTTTGTTGGGGAACTTGACACAGCACTCTCACCCTTGCTTCAATTCTTTATCTTATATTACAACTGAATATAGTCAGCTAATTGTCTAGTATCGTTCACCTTCTATCCACACCCATGTTTTGATAGCCTATTGGGTACCAAGGACTGCTGCAGCACTTAACATTGTAGCATAAAATCACCTTGCTTAAACCCCACAATCAGCCTCCGAAAAAAGGATTATTACTAAATCCATTTTACAGATGGGGAAATTAAGATTTCCAGGAGTTAAATGATCACTAGCGATCATGTAGCTCGTAAGCAGTGGAGCCACTGCATCTCCTTAGGGTGTTTGAGAAACTGTGTTCTTTCTTCCCTAGCGTTCCTTGGAAGCAGTTAACATACAAATATTTATATGTTAAAACAGCAGAATCTGCAGTGGCTCAGGCTGGCTTATGATGCTGACAAAGTCACACCTTGGCCCTTCTGCTCTGGGATTTTAATAATCAATAATGTGCCTGTTAGCATGTCTCCTCCCCCTCTGCCACCCAGTCTGTTTTCAGAACCTCTTCGCTCTGTCTATCCCACAGCTTGTGTCTATAGTTCTGATGACCCTCTGTTTATAGTATATTTTATATGCTCTATACATGGCCCTCCTCTTAGTTCTCTGTCTTAAACTCCATATTCTTTCTCCAAGTGTTTATATTACAAGGCTTTGTGTAGACTATTATGATGAATTTTGCTCATAGACGCTTTCCCCGCGTGGATTATCATGGAATGTGATGTGTTTTTTTGGCAGGAAGTCTTCATAAAATTCATTTAATGAGAAATTCTCAGGGATAGTTTCATTTCTAAATTCAAGCAGGGAAATAATGCTATGGCCTCATCCTTCCGCCTCCTTCCCCACAACTCATTTAAGTTAATTAGCAATTGTTTTACATAAAAAAATACTCTGTAAGGCTGTTCAGGAGGTGAATTTGTGGCTCTTTCATACATTGCTGATGGGAGTGTAAAAAGGTATATACTTTTAAATTAAAAAAAATTTCTGGCGAGGATAGATAGCTAGGTGGTACATTATCAGCGCCTTTAAAAATGTATACTCTATGACCCAGAAATTCCAATTTAAAAAATTTCTCCCAATAAAGATATGCTCAAATGTTTAACTGTGAATATTTTCATTACAGCATCATTTATATAATCAAACATGTAAAACAACATAGATACCCTCAGCTAGAGATTTACAAAATAAATTATATCACATTCATCCATAGAAAATTATGTAGCTGTTAAAATGGTGTTTTAGAAGAATCGTTCTTGAAATGGAAATATCTTCACAATATATTTTCTAGCAAAAAAAGACTACAGAACAATATGATTTCCTTTTTGCTTAAAATTTAAAAAAAGAAAAAAAGGATTCATGTATGCAGAGAGAAGAGTCTGGAAGGAGATGATAATTTCTGATTAATAAGCCTGTGATCTCATCTTCTCTCCTTTTTGTTTATCTGTAATTTAAATTTTATTTACACTAAAGTGTATTCCTTCTATAACAAATAATATTAGAAGATTTATTTAAAGCAAATCAACAGAAGGCTTTTTCTCCCTTTTCTTTAATCTTTCCTCAGCCAAGTTAGCCATCAATGCTGGTTGCCTAAGCAAGGGAAAGACGGATCAAGATCAAGCTGGACTTTTCCAGTTAGAAAACATCCATTTGTGTATCTCCTTCCTCACTACTGTATTTGGATCTGGCTGTGATTGAACTTGGATTTGCCTCTTGAGATTTTGGTGTCTTTAGTACATTTACCTGGGAAGAGAGTCTGAGTTTGTCTGACTCTCCTAGACTGACCAAATTTAGTGTTTCGTAGGGTTTTTGTTTTGCTGTTTTTCTGCTTTTGACCATGGCCATTAGTCATGCTAAAGAACAGGGAAATAGAGAAATGTTAGTCCAGGGACAGCTCACATATATGACAAATTTTACTGTTTCTTCTCCAGCAGGAGGGTGTCCAAGGGAGGTACCTGAGAACACACACAACATTTTATTCAAGAAAGGGTCTTACTTTTGTGACTTGGAAGATTCTGGAAGCTTATGATTTATCAACTTAGCTGCTAAATATAATATAGAGTCAGTTATGGTCTCATCAGGGTGTGTATTTCTTTAAACATCCTAATGTGTTAATAAACTTTTGTCTTGGCTCGTGGGCCATAACTCAGAGAGATATATTATTGATTTGTCATTAAAGTCATTGGAAACTGAAGCCAAGGGATAAATGCTAATTATTTCATTATCATTATTTACTGGCTAATTTCATGGTTCCCAAATGGAGTGCTAAGTTGCCCCAGGGCACTGCTGGGAGCTCACAGGAGTACTGTAAGATATTTTAATTTTTTGAGGGAAGCAGTGATCCATGACATCTGCCAGACACTGTGAGAATGAATAGCTCAAGGTAGTTCATGGTTTCAACATTACATCGTGCTTCACTCCTTTCGGTAATGTCGTATCTTTGCTGTGATAAAGCTGCTTTGCACAGTTGCTGTGATAAAAAGCAAGTACCGCACAAAAATCAATGTGGAAAAAAGGTGGTGGTGCCCAATCCGAGCCGTAGGTTTGAGAAGTTATGTAAGCCTTAGGAGGCACTAAGTCATTAGGATGTAAATACTTATGAAGTTGTTTGCACCTACCTACTTAATAAATGGGACTTTAGGTATTTATTTTGGCCTGGGGTGCTGTGGAATAATTGTGGAGACACTAAAGACACTGCACCATTGAGAAAGTTTGGGACCTTTTAGTCTAATGATGGCCATACTAGTTTTTCTTCAAAAAGTTAACTGTGTGATTCTCTGAAATATATGCAAAGGAACTATTCACAGACCCCATTATGAATGTAATAGTATTGGGCAGTGGTGTGCGTGCTGGGCAGAGGAAGCAGAGAGTAAATTGCACTAATTATTCAGGAGGTGAAAACTGGCTACCCAGGAAGCTCATAAAATTTTTTTTTTTGCTTTGTTTTGGCTGAGTGTGTGTGTGTGTGCATGTGTGTGTGTGCATGCATGCATGTGTGTGTGTGCGTGCATGTGTGTGTGCGTGTGTGCGTGTATGTGTACATGTGTGTTTGAATACCTTTTGGCGGAGCAACTCCCCAATTTATAATAGGCTCCTCCACTCCCTCTTTTTATACCCGTCTCACTTCATTCTTTCAGGCTGTCTACCTGGTCCAAGAAAGCATCTGAGTTTCTTACTCCTTGTGAGAGGAGATAAAGCCTCAAAGCCAACTGATTAACCGGGCAACCTTAGCCCAGATCACATATTTAACCCCTCTCGTGTTCATGTCCCCCTTCCCCCTCTCTATCCACAACTGTGCCTGTGTTTCTTTAGCTGGAAAATGAGAGACAATGAGGACAATAACTCCAGTCCTGTGCTAAGTGTTTGTATTCAGAGGTGAAAGGCATAGCTCACCCACTGATGACAGGACGTGATGTGCCATCGGAATCAGTAGTGTGTGGGGGTCACAGGGCGCTGAGGGGAAGGGCTACTAGCTCAAGACCAGTGAGAGAAGTTGTCAGGTATGACAGGGGTGAGTAGGCTTGGGTTGAGCCTTGAGAGACGAGTAGAGAGTGAGACAGGTGAAGATGAGGGTGGAAGGGAAGTACCAGTGGGAAGTGCAAAAATGTAAAGGCATGAAAGAGCATGACCGGAGATGACAGGGTTGGGACCGGGCGGCTGAGATATTAACTCTCACGTTGACAAGGCCACGCGGGGAAGACTTCAGGCAGGAGCATCCTGTGCTCAGTCTGCCGTTGGACTTATTATCACTCTGGAACAGGGTTGGGGGATTGTGGCACCAGTCCAGAGATGGAGGAAATGGGAGGCAGGGTTGTCTGTCCAGGAGAGAAATTTAGGAGGACAGAATCTGGTGCCTAGATGGGTGTGGGGTTGAGGGAGTGGGAGGAGTCAAGGACAACCCCTGGTTTCTGGTCCGTGACTGAGAGGACAACGGTGTCCATACTGAGCCACTGGGGGAAGAGCCTATGTGGAAGCAGAGGATGACAGGGTCAGAATGTCACTTGACTTTGGGTACCAGCCAATTATACACAGCTGACTCTTGAGCAACATGGGTTTGAACTGCGCAGGTCCACTTATATGTGAATTTTTTTCAATAAATACCGATAATGTTTTGATCCACAGTTGAGAGTCCACAGGTGCTGGGGGCCAACTGTATGTGCTAATCTCCATGATTTATGTAGGGAACCAGAGCATCCACAGAGTTTGGTATCTGCAAGGGGTCCTGGAACCAGTCCCCCACATATCCTGGGGGACAATTAAGTTTTGGAGGAGTCAATATTTATACATGGATTTTTGAGCGTTGAGAGTATCAGGACCCCTAACCCCCTGTGTTGTTCAAGGGTCAACTATAATTGTCTTATCTTTAGGAGATTCTAAGTCCTTTAGGGAAAAGAATGTGTTTTGCTCATTTTTTGTATCCTCTTCAATTCCTCCCTAATGCAAAGCCTGGCACACAATAGGTACTCAATAAAGATGAGTAAACTCAAGGGGAAAAGCCCTTTTAAGGCCAAAAGAAGTGGTACAAAAACACAATTAGAAGTTGTTAGACAACCCAATTGTCTAGAAAGCCCAAAAAGTGTGTGCTGTATATCCAAGGTTTTATGGGGTGGAATAGTTAATGTTAGAAAGAAAAAAGTCCCAAAGCTTCAGCACAGTAACAGAGCATCTGTCCACCCAATGTCTTTGACTCTGACCCACAGGCACATGGTCAGGATGGCGCAGGCCCCTGCAATTCCTCTGGTCCTCCTCTGACACATGATCGAGCCCTCTTAGTGTACGGCTCCTTTCTTTGAGATCTGCATGGACTTAGAAGCATGCAACTATTCATCTGGTTAAGGTGTGAAACCTCAGGACTAGCATATTGTATCCGCTTAAAATGTCAACCTCACTTGAAGATTTTGTAAAAAAATCTTTCATACTTGCATTAAAATCAATATGATTAGATTATGAAGTGGTGTGTTATTTGTGTAGGTTGTGTGTGCCCTCCTGTTGTAGTTGAGCCTTGGTTGCTATTGGCACGTCAATGGAGGGATTAACCCTCAGGCTGATTGATTATGAGGACTGGCTGTAACTACAGGAGAGGAGCTGCTGTGCAGGGACTGACCCTACAGAGCAGGATTCACTTTAGCTGGGCTTTGGTGCATGCTCAGCCTGCCCTTTGGGTGTGTCATCTGTGGAGGCAGCCAGGTGGCGTTCCAGCTCAGTCTGAAGATGGCCACCAGATGTGCCATCCCCAGGGCCTCCTGGGAGGGGCCTCACCAAAGGCCGAGTTCAGCCGAAACCTATGCCTGCTGAAGGCCACCTGGAATGAGCCACAAAGCAATTCTCAGGTGACCGCCACCTGCACTGTGTTGGGAGGTGCCTGGGAGAGGCTAAGCTGTGAACTAAGGCTGACTGCCACTAGTGCCAAGCTTGGGGCTGCTCAGCAGGAAGTATGGGGCATGCAGAGGCTCGATGCTGCTTGTTTGGGGTTTGTGAACCTTTGAGAAATTTTAGGAATATCCACAGCATGAGCCAAGAGAGGCTGTTTTTATGGAAAACCCACCAGAAGCAGATTGGGTGGGCTTGCAGGTTGGGTAGGGCAGGGTTTCAGAGAATCACTAGGGCAGGGCAAATGGTGTTAGACAGGTTAATGGAGGCTCAGATATGGTGGTTGCCTGTGTCTGCATGCCTGGAGTGGGGAGGGCTTAACAAAGGAACTATGGCTTCTGCTTGCACTTCTGTCTGGGAGAAAGCTGCCCCTCCAGCCCTCTCCCTCAAGGCAGACAACTCAGTTCTTCTCCATATGCCCCTAGTACCTTTCAAACTGCTGCCTCAGCACTGGAGCTCAGAGCTTGTGATTCTGTCAGTAAGTAAGTCCATGTGTGAGCCCTTTAAGAGGAACATCTGGGACTCTAGCCACCCTCCATCTCACCCAGCCACAATCTCCTCTGCTTTTCACAGCCAGAAGTTCTGGGGGTTTTCCCCTTGGCAATGGAATCCTGGGCTGGGGAGCCTGGTGTCAGGCTGGGACCCCTCACTCCTCTGGGGGGGGAGGACCAAGACATCCCTCCCGATTTTCAACCGCCACATACGGGTGTGCAACCAACCAATTCCACATCTCTGCCCCTCCTGCCAGTCTCGAGGTGGCTTCTTTTGTATGTCCTTAGTTGTAAGACTTCTGTTCAGTTAGACTTCAGGTGATTCTCAATGATGGGTGTTCTGTAGTTTAGTTGTAATTTTGATGTGGTCAAGAGAGGAGACAAGCACAGTGTTTACCTACTTCGGCATCTTGACCAAAAATTCTATATGTATATTTTAAATAGAACATAAGAAACAAAAGGAATTCTGTTTCTCGGTGCAGGCCATTATGGACGCTTCAGTTGAAAGGTTTGAGAATCATGGTATGAGATAACAAGGCCACCTATGTGCTTGCAGCTAACTGGACCATTTCAAACACAGTTTTTTTTCTGCTCAGGCTACAGGATCTCTCCTTGAGGCGACAACTCGGAAGTGGGCTCAGTACAAAGAGAAGTGCCTGAAAGACTTACTCAAGGAACCTTCTGGTAAGCACATATATTAGTTATCTATGGTTGTGTAATCAATAGCCCCAAAGCTTAGTGGCTTAAAACAGAAATAATCATTTATTATCTCTCATTGTTTCTGTGAGTCAGGAATTCAGACAGAACACGTAGGGGATGGCTTATTTCTGCTCTACAATGTCTGGAGTTTAGTTGGAAGACTCAAAGGCTGGGGGCCGAAATCATCTGGAGGGTTGTTCACACCCATGTCTGCTGGGAGATGCTCGCTCTCAGCTGAGAGTTGAGCTGGGACTGTTGCCCAGAAAACTTCCACATGGCCTCTCCGTATTGGCCTGGGCTTCCTCACAGCACGCTGCTGGGTTCCAAGGGCTAGCATTGAGCAGAGGCCAGATTGCCTTTTATGACCTAGCCTCAGAAGCCACTTCTGCCATGCTCAGTTTGATCAGACAGTTCTAAAGCCTACCCAGGTTCAAGGGGAGGGATGATAGACCCCCACCTCTCATAGTAAAAGAACATGTGAGATGTGATACATATGTGTGTGGCCGTCTTTGATAAAAGCCACAGCACACTCAACACCTAATCACATGACATGAGCAACTGAGTGTGTGGTAAGTGGAGTGATGGGGGTTGGTAGGCGAGGGGTGGTGGGGTGGTCCTCAGTCTCTCAGAGTGTTAACTGAAGCTGAATCATAACATTTTTCTTATCCAGATCTACACTAAGTTTAGAGCATTCTAGCAAATTTTTTAATAGTTTGGTCAGTCCATGGCCTCCTTTACCCACAAGCTGCCTTTTTGGGGATATCAGATTCTTTTTTTAAAAATATATATATAAAAAGGAGCATTGGCTCATCATCCCTGTGCACTGGGGCCTATGGATGAAAGCTGTCCCCTCTTTGTTCTCCCAGCTTCTTTCAGATCATTTCATTCAGCAGCCCGAAGGTTGACAGGACACTATAAACTCTCTTTCTTTTCCTGACCCAAAGGCAGTGACAGCCTTCAAGCCATACCATTCTCCCTGTAACTATTCCTTCAGCCCAGGCAGGCAGCAATTAATGCTTGATCTGATACAAAAACACCTCTCACTTTAGGGAATCCTGTTCTTTAAAATCAAAGTAGGCCAGGTTTTCTACCTGGAGCCATGCTTTGAGCAGCTCAGCCAGGTGAGTACTGCCTCACACAGACCAGGTGCTGACACCTGGCAGCCAGGTCGACAAGGTACCCCAAACTAGTGTATTACCTAGCAGATCTGCATGTGTAGGGTCTCGATGCAAGTAACCTGGATGTTCACCCGGAGTTCTAGCTTAATAGGGAGCAGATAATGGGGAATGATGCTTGGCTTCCAGCAGTGAGGAGCCTGCAATATGGACATTTGGGATTCAGCCTGAAACCCTTCGTTTGATTCTGGGAGGCCTATAAGGCTGGGGCTTATGTTAGTAGCTTCTCATTGCCAAGCAGTGGGGTGTAAATCATTCCCTGAGCTTGAGATGGCTCAAATATTTCATAATGATCATCAGATTAGTCTTCAAAGAAAAAAATGTGACCAGGTAGTGCTTGTGCCAGGTACACATGACAAAGAACTTTAATTCTGCAGGTACCCTCATATCCACTGGTCATTTTGCACGTTTCACAGTAAGGGTGTTCCGGGATCTAATTAATGAAGGTTTGACAATTATCTAGTTAATTATGGAACATAAGATGCTGGCTAAACCGAGTGTCCTCCTGACCCTGAGTTTCTGTGAGAGTTCAGTTCATGTAAAGTAAACCCAAATCAGCGTGACGTGTACATTGACATAACTGACTGGATCACTGCCAGAGGTCAAGTTGGGTAGACAAAAACAAAGTTCTTGGGGATGGATTAAACAGTCTTGCCTTCCCCATATTGTTTCTCATCCTTGATGCATCTGGTATACCTGTGCTGGTCCCTGTGCAGGTTTCTCCAGCTTCCAATGCCAGGAAGGAGGGCTCTGGGCTCCTGGTACCTGTGCCTCCATCAGTAGACCCAGTGTTCCAATGGTGCTGTTCATTTGGCCTCTTCTCTCTGCAGGCATATTTTGTAATGGGACCTTTGATCGGTATGTGTGCTGGCCTCATTCCTCTCCAGGAAATGTCTCCGTTCCCTGCCCATCATACTTACCTTGGTGGCGTGAAGGTAATATGTCTTATTTGACCAATTTCTGACAGTTTCCTTAAAGGTTGGTCCCTCCTGCGTGGCCAGCCAGGGAGCAGTTAGAGAAAGGGCTCCTACTAAGTGCTTTTCTCAAGTCTTCTTCCACAAAAGTTCTCCTTCTAAGTCATCAGTAATACATGTTTCTTCTTCTCTCTGCTTCTCCTCTTGTCTTCCTGCAATTCTTCTGTGCCTGGATGTTCCATTAATATAAATCTTCTTTTCTGTGATGATAATAGAGTCTAGGCCTGACTTCCAAAGAATTTGCTGCAGTGAGGGTGAGAATTATAACCATGATGGAGAGAAGAAAGAGACGGGGGAGAAAGATTGGGACCCTCACATTTATGCAACTTTGGCTTGTCAGATAAGAGGAAGGATGTCAAAACTCCCCTTGTAATAACAGTGGAAGGAGGTGTTATTGAACTGGTGTTTTTAACCCCATGGAACTTGAATGGAGAATTTAACCAGTCAGCTTGCCCTGATCCCGCTTAAAGGAAGTGACTATTATTTAGGGCTTCAGGGTGATATCCCACCCCTACCTCCCCCAGCAACTCAGCCTCTTGTTGTTTTACTGGAATAAGAGAGAAACAATTACTGGTTAGAACTCTTTTGCTTTTCACCAAAGACCATGGACAAATCTAAGAACAGATGAAACTATTCTCAAGAAACAGAAGCAGTTACAAAGTTCCAGGCAAAACAAAGTGAGAATGGGTTTCTAAGGAGGCGAGATAGTGGCATTTTATACTTAATTTCAGTCCAAGAAATGGTCAGGTCAGTTAACATTTGGTTTCAATTTTTTGAGGCCTCTAAGTGCAAAGAGAGGGTTTCAAAGGAAGGTGCATTTCTGGGTGGGAGAGCTATTGACATCTTTTATGAAACTGTCTTCTGGTGAGATCCAGGATCCAGTGGAATTAGGAGATATGGGGATATGAGGTTCAAGGGAAGGTGAAAGGGGAGATACCAGAGAGCTTGCTGGACCTGCAGAGTCAGTTCAGGGAGGAAGAAAGAACACTGGACATGGAATCAGGAGCCCTGAGGTTAGACCCCATCCCTCTATTCCATACTCAGACTTTCGGCAAATCGCCAGAGCCCTCAGCTGTGGTTTTCTTGTAAAATTGAAGTGAATAATAGCTAATTCTTAAGGTCATCTTGAGAAATAAGTGAGAAGGCACACACCGAGTCAGCCACACAGTAGGTGCTTTGTAAATGGGAACTGAGTCTGAGGCTGAGTTTGAGCCCCTTGGACTCCTTCAGGCCTTTGAGGCCCCAAATGTCCATGGACTCCTCAAGGGCACACGGACTAGACCACCAGTGCCCAGCTCCACCATCTCCGTGTTCCTTCCCAAGTGCTGAAAATAGAGGTCCATTTCACTGCAAGGGAAAAACTGATCAAAAATCTAAACTTACAAAGAAGTGGAGCTAAGCCTTTTTTTTTAAAAAAAAAGAATGCGTTCTGGGCTTTTAGAACCTGGCAAGGGGAGTGTGTTTTGCAAAAGACAGGAAGTTGCTTTCCCACTCATCCTTTTGTGCATTAAATCGTTAGAAACCAAATGGGTCCCTGAAGTGAAAGGAGAATGTAGAGCCAGTAGAGAAGGAATGGAGAAACATTCTTGTGAGATAAGATTAGAGGGAGGGTCAATAGAATATGAGAAGGGAGCTTGTGTAACAGAGGAAACAGGCTATCATGGCATATAAGACTGAGTATGAGGCTGGGGCCTGATTGCTTAGGAAGTTCTATATTGCCCTAAGGGTTTTAAACTTTCCTCTGTAGAGAAAGATTATGAGGAGCTGCTGAAGGCATCAGGGCATGAGAAGGACATGATGAGATCTGTGGTGTAGGGCGATGACATTGCTGGCCTGTGGCTGTTAGACTGAGGCATGGAGGGGGATCAGGGATGCACGTTTGGAAGCTACTGCAGTGGTCCAGAAAAAGAGATCATGCGAATGTGGACTCAGGAATGTGCAAGAGGTTGGAGGGAAGAGGAAAGAGTAAACAAAAATATTGGAGGTAGAACTGTCAGGACTTATCAGGTGAAGTGAGAATTGAGGGACAGAGAAGACTGAGAAATGGAGGAGAAAAAAACATTCTCAAATTCCACCTGACTCCACTGACACTCAGCCCTCATCTGGTTGGTAGCTAAGTCCCCTGGTCCCCCATCCCCTCCATCTCCCCACGGCTCATCACTCTCAGCCATTGTTCCCGAGCTCCTCACTGGTTTCCTGCCTCAGTCCGGCCCCCTTCCAGCCACCGCCACAAAGCTTTCTAAAATGCACATTGGATAATGTTGGCCCATCACCAACACCTCTCAGTGGTGCTCAAGAACTTCCATCACCTGGCCCTGCTGACCTCTCTAGCATTTCCTTCCACCTCCACTTCAGCCAGATAAATAGCCCCCAGGCTCCTACACTTGCCCAGCCATTCCCCTCCCCAATACCTTTGTCCACACTTTTCTGTCTGTATAGGCTGTAATAACATATAAATCCAACTTTAATCCTCAGCTTGAAACTTCGTTCTTCTAGAAAATTTCTCTGGCTACTCCCCACAAGGGCAACGGCCCTCTGCCTCTCTGAGGCCTCATAAGGGCCGTCTTCCATCTTAGCATTTACAACACTTGATGACATTTTGATGTGCACATCCCCCCTCGCCTGCCGCTAGACCTGGAGCTGTGCCTCCTTCATCTTTGCATATCCAGCACAGAGCCTTATGGCTGGCATGGAGAACACAGGTGTCAGGTGACATTATGGCATTCACTCATTCAACAAACATTTATTGAGCACCTACTGTGTAGCAAGCATTATTTTAAGTGCTTAGGCTATGTTAGTGAGCAACACAGAATAAAATTCCTCTCGTTGGGGGGCTCACATTCTAGCAGCAGAGACAGACAATATTCAAGAAACATCATAACTAAGTAACGTATAGAGTGTTTGAATGTGATGTATTTTAAACAAGCTGGGGGAGAGATGGGAGGGTTGGAGTAGGGGTAGTGAGCTGCTATTATAAATTGGGAGATGAGGCTTTATGACAAGGTGATGTGTTACTGAAAACTTAAAGGAGGTAAGGGATTTCGCCAATAAGGGGAGAGAAGGAGTCAATGAGTTCAAGTTGTGTACTATTTGGGCATTGTGTCTGGTGTGTTCCATAAAACGCAAGGAGGCCAATGCTGCTGGAGTGAAGGGGGAGGAGAAGCAACAGGAGGTTACATCTGAGAGTGCTGGGGCCAGACCTGACAGGGCTCTGGGGGAGGCCATAAGGACTCTTGACTCGTTTTCAGAGAGCCCGTGGATGACTTGAGGTGAGGCCTGACATAATGTGACTGACATGTTATTCAGCTCGCTCTGACTGCTGGCTTAACTGTAGACCAGGGGCATGCATACTGAATGCCTTCACAATAATTCCGGTGAGAGACAATGGTGGCCCCAGTTAGGGTGGAAGAAGGGAGTGAAAAGCAGTGCTCAGATTCTGGATATAGTTGAAGGTAGAGATGACAGGATTAGCTGATGAAGGGTACGATAGACAGAAAAAAAAACCCAAAGATGACTCCAAGGTTTGGGGCTAGAAAACTGATAAGATGGGTTTGCCATCAATGGAGGCAGGAAAATATGTGGGTGGAGCAGGCTTGAGGAGAAGATGAAGAGTTTGATTTGGGGTGCGTCGTTTGAGGTGTCAATTAGACACGCTAACAAGGCTGTCAGGTGGGTAAGTGGAAATACGATGTGAAGACCCGTTAATTAAATTCTGCAAATACGTAGTTATTGTTGGCCCACTATATGCAGGATCGAGAGTATGAAGTTCCAACAAATTTTTATTTCTCATTTGCAAGTCCAGTCCTTTGTCATCCAGGTAGGAGGACAATCCCTTTGGGGAAGGGCTTCTGGGAAATATGTGATTGAGTCACCAATGGACATCACCATGGAAAGAAGTGTTGCCCATCATTTGCACAAACACACGTTCACTTAATCCTCCCCCAGACTGTGGAGGGCCAGTCCCATTATTATCCCCAGCTTTGATAGTTTGAAACTGAAAGGCCCAAAGAGTGGGAGAGCCAGGCCCAAGGCCACAAAGCTCGTACATGGCAGAGCAGGCTTCGTGCACCACTTTCTCTTCTTCATGGCACCACCTCTTGAGCATCAGGAAGAGATGCCCCACTGAGCAAGCACGCAGAGCGCCAACAGGCGTCTCCCAGCTGGCCTGCCCCTTGGAGGGCTGTTACATCCCTAAGTCACCAGGGGCTGTTCTAGCTTCAGAGACTTTGGTAAACACGGAAGCCATTAATGGATCATGGTTTGTTATGAAATGTAGAGGCTTTTGTGGTTTTTCTTTCTGTCCCAAATAAACAGTAGGGATGTTAATGAGCCCCCAAACGGGGAAGTGAAAACCCCTTTTCCCTGGGATTTTCCACAGCTTTGCAGTGAGGACTAGGGCCTGACCATGTGCTCAGGGAGTGGGCTGTGTGTTGTGACCTTTCCCCCAGAGCTGTGTTTACTTTCAGAGAACGCAGGAAGGGCCTACAGACACTGCTTGGCTCGGGGCACTTGGCAGCTGCTGAAGAACTCCACAGATATTTGGCAGGATGACTCAGAATGCGCTGAGAATCACAGCTTCAAAGAGAACGTGAGTCGGCCTGGTTCGGTGATAACGTGCTCCAGGGCTCAAAATACCTTCCGTCAGGGGCCCCACATGGCAGGCTGGCTTTCAGGGCCACACAAAAAGCCTTTCCCCAGCTTGTCCACCCCAGACTCACGGAGGAAAGTCCTCAGTCACACACAAAAGCACCCCTTCTGGCAGCCACTGAATTTCTTCTAAGGCTAGGGTGAAATGTGAACCCCTAAGGGAAGTCAGCCTTCCAACTTTGGTCCTACCCTTTCTGCTTGCTGTTCCCTCTGCCTGGAACACGCTTCCCCGGCTCTCCTGCAGCTTCTCCCTCTCATCATTCAGGTTTCAGTTCAATGTCTCCTTCAAAGCAAAGTCGTCTGTGGCCACCCCATCGAGAGTGGCTCTCACAGTCACTTTCCGCCACCCAGATGTAGTCCCTTTACAACTCCTGTCACTCTCTGACAGGAGAGTGCTCCTGTGTTTGGTTATTTGTTATCTGGTCCCCTCATTAGAATGCGGACTGAATGGGAGCAGGAGATGTGTGTGTCTAAGGGAACACACACTGAGCACAGGGTTCCGAGGTGAAGGTCAAGGCCAGACAGCCCGACTCTCTTCCAGACTCTTGGCTTCCTCGCTCCTCATACCCAGACCCTTTGCCTCTATGTGACCCTGTTCTTCATCCATCCCATGGGGGTCATATTTATTGCATGTGATCTCTGTGAGGATTTAAAGAATTAATAGACACACAATTCTTCTGAGAGAACCTGACCGGCAGTCAGCAGGCCATATGTAGGAGTGACTGCTCTGTCCCCAGGATCCAGCACAGTAACTGGGCAATAAATCATCATAGCCGCTCAGCAAATATTTGTTGGGTGAACAAACAAATCTGTACTTCAGACTTCTCTGCATGCATTTTCTTTCCAGGATCCTATTTTGCAGTCCCCTCAGGTACGGCTCTCCTCCCCCAAGATCTCCTGTTTGTACAAACCCCACCCACCTTCCTTCAAAGTGAAGTGCAAAAGGCAGCACGGACAGAGGAAGAGGTGTTTGGGGATCAGACAGATATCTAGGGCCGCATCTTGTTTTCTTTCATTCAGACAGACATGAAGTGTTTACTGTGTGCTAGATTTTTGCACTAGCAACTGGAGATAAACAGTGAAGAAGATATAGACGTTGCCTTCAACTAGCTTTGAGTCTCACGGGGTATAGAGACAAGGTGGAGATCTTGAGAGATGCCACCGTAAGGAGTTAGGACTTTGCACCGATAAGTAGGGGAGGGACATAACTCTGAATATGCTTCGAAAGGATCGTTCTGGCAAGTTGGAGAGAGGTCGGGAATGGGGCCAGGCTGGAGGCAGGGGTAACAAGCAGAAGCCATCGCAGTATCGCAGCCCAGAAATGGAGAGAACACCAGTAGGGGTGGAGAGAAGAGGGAGGCTGGATTTATAGGTATGGAGCAAGGAAGCAGTATGATCAGAGGCTGAAAGTGGGGCGAGAGGGCAGAGTCAAGGGCAATAAAAATCTCAGGTTGGCTTGGGCCCGTGAGAAGCTTTGAAATTCCCTACACTGAGACAGGGAACACAGAAAGAATCTTTGCCCTTTCATCTCTCTTGCATTCTAGATATTCCACTACCAAATTCTTTGCCCTAACTTGAAGACTGCAAACCATATCCCGCCTCCTGCCCCCAAGTTGTGGCTCACTTCTTTCATAATTTAGCTTGATTCTGAAATTCTTTAGCTTTCTTAAGTCATTTTAATATTTTTCCACCAGAGGGTAAAGACATTTTAATAAAGGTTGGGGATGGGGAGAGGTAAGGAGTTCAGGTTTATTAATAGAAACATTAACTGTGTGACTTAAGCCATAAAATTTCTCTCCAAGCATCCACGAAGTGGGGTTGATCATGCCAACTTTGCACAGGCTGGTGGTGAGGCCTGATGGGGCAATGGATGCAGAGTGATCCACCCACGCCCTGGCACCCACTTGCCACTCGGTAGTTACGATTACTGCATTTTGTCTCCTCAGAATGTCTTTCCTGGTCCCCAACAAACAGTGATCACAGTCCACTTGTCCATGTGGTTTTGGTGTCTGACGGTGGCTTTTCTAAAGTGGCTTCTTTGGGTTTATTTTTTAAATATATAATATTTTATTTGACATACAAAAATAAAAAGTTAATTTTCTGTTAAAAGACATATCTATATATCTATATATCTATATCTATCTATCTGTCTATCTATCTATCTATATATAAATTTTAATACTATCAAGGAGGTCTTTGAATAATTTTTGGTGCCACTTAGAAGCTAGTTATTTCAATGCCCTTTTATGTCTCATGCTGCATTAATACATGTAAGATATTAGATGCTTTAAATATAGTAAATAGTTATTAGAATAAGAAATCTTTAGTTCTTAAATAATTCTAGCTCATTGAATGTGTCAAACTTCTCTGATGAGTCTTACATTTTTTAAAATAAGTCAATACTATATTCATTAAGTTTTCAATTTAAACTTAAAGTCAAATACTTATTGACATATTTCATTGGAGTGACAATACTAATTCTAATCCTCTAATATGCTATATTTTCAAAGTAGTAATACCAATTACATACAGATTGTGCAAACAATCTAAAAAGCCTCTATACGAGGGATGAATAGAAGGATGGATACGAGATGACACCAAGTCAAGTGTTGACAGTAGAATGTGGGTGGTGGGTAGGCAGGTGCTCTTTGTCAAATTCCTTTAACTTTGCTGTGTGTTTGACCACCCTGCTTGTGGCTTGGATCCTTCAGAGCTCACTGGGAGCTGGCATGCACTTGGCTTTCCTAAGTCTGTCATATTTTCCCATCAGGAACAAAGAACCTCCCATTGTTTCCTCTGCATCTGCAGGGAATTTGTTCTAAACTTCTTTTTCAGTTTATTACTTGATTTGAGTTGACAGAATTCTGTGTTCCTTATAGTTTTACCATGTGACAGGTCACACCTCTTAAAGGTATTAAAATGATACTTGTATCTGGATTGGATTCAGCTTATCTCAAGAATTTGACTTTCATCAGGACACCAGACTCATGCTAATCACACAGCTTGAATTAGGCAAACTGTGTATTTCTCCTCTTCCCTCCTGAACTAAGCTGCTTAAGAACAATGACAAAATCATAGTTATACCTGAATATGCACCACCCTCTGGCCAGCTACTGGGACCAAAAGCCTTTGATACAGTGGGCACTTAATAAATACTGAATGAGTGATTTCACAAATTCTGAGTCAATGCATCTGTGATGGGGCCTAAGCATCAATACTGGTGCTCAAGTTCCCCAGGTGATTCTAAGGTGCAGTGGAGGCTGGGAACTGAGGCCTTAAGGAGGAATTCACCAGCAGGTGTGAGGTGCCTGCTGCTGCTTCAGAGCTTCTGTCTGCAGTGGCCCAAGTCAGGGGACAGGGACGGCAAAACAAGATTTGAAAACTGCACTTTCCAAGACAGGGAATAAAGAATTCTCTCTTTGGAAAAGTCAGGACAAGGGCATCGCCTCCCCCGCTCTGCAAATGGCCATATTTCCAAGAATTCAAATACTTAAAAAACCCCAACAACTTCTGGCCATGTTTACCTGTGTTTCTAATAGAGGGTTGAACTTTTGCCCAAAAAAGGCTAGTGTTAGTAAATCTTTGCCCTTCAGAGTTTTGGCAAACAAAATATGTTATGTTCTTTCAACGGACAAAACACTGGTGTCTTTATGCACGTTAAATCGTACTTTATAAGTAGCTTGTGTATGTGTGTGTATGTGTGTGCATGTGTGTATGTATAATATATGTGTGCACATGCATATCTGTTAACAAGTATGTTTAGATTTGTTGGTATAGAACTGTGTTTAGTAGGGTTCAAATAAATTATCTTGCCTTACTTCAAGCTGTTTTGTTTGCCTTTAAAAAAGTGCTTTCCATTCTCAAATACAGAATTGAATTGATACATAATTTGAATACATATGATTTTAATGGTAAATTTTAATTTTAAATATAACACAATATGTATCAATTGATATATATTTTTTTCCAATATTTTATTTTGAAATATTCAAACACATAGAAAAGTTAAAAGAATAATAAAATAAACACTCAAAGATCCATTCTCTAGGTTCAAAATGTATGAACATTTTGCCATATTTGCTTTCTCTCTATCTCTCTCTTTCTGAAATATTTGAAAATAATTTGCAGACATCATGAAACTTTACCCCTAAGTATTCATCAGGTATTTCCAAAGATTAAGGACATTATGCCACATAACTATAATACCATTGTTTCAACTAAGTAAAGTTAACAGCAATTTCATCATATCAGTGAATATTTCATCCATATTCAAATTTCTCCAATTGTTCCCCCTAATTTTTATAGCTTTTCTTCTCTGGACCAGGATCTCATCCAGGTTCACATATTGCATTTAGTTTTAGATCACTTTAGTATCTATCTATCTATCTATCTATCTATCTATCATCTATCTATCTATCTATCATCTATCTATCTATCTATCTATCTATCTGTCATCTTCTATCTATTTTTCATCTTTTAAGGTAGAACAGTCCTTCACACCCCCACACCCCCGACCCTGCCACCCCTCAACATTGGCTTTCTAAAGAGACCAGAAGAGCTTTATTGTAGAATGTCACACTACCTGTATTTGTTTGACTGTTTCCTCAAGTTGTCATTCAATGTGCTCCTCCGTCTTCTGTATTTCCTGTAAACTGAAAGTTAGGTTTAGAGTCTTGACAAGATTCAAGGTAATCCTTGCAGGTGCTGTGCACATTGTATAGCCTCATACCAGGAGATCAAAATGTCAGGTGTCACACTATAATGATGTTATGTTTGATTACTTGGTCAAGGTAGCAACAGCCAGATATCTCTGTGGTAAAGGTACAGTTATCCTTTTGTATTTGGTCAGTAATCGGTGGGGAGATACTTTAGCACCATGTGTTTATCTTGTTCCCTCACAAACCTTCATCAGTGTTTTCCTCTTCATTGAGGATGCTTGCT